GTGTTCCTGGACGTGGTTGAGTGAGAGTGTGATTCTCAGACTCTTGAATCTGCCAATCATTTGCTGTCGTATTTTGTTATTTGTCTGTCCTTATTCGCAGGTGTTCCTGGACGTGGTTGAGAGTGTGAACATCCTGGTGAACAGTAACGGTCAAGTGGTGCGGTCTGAAGTCGTGGGCGCACTCAAGATGCGAACGTACCTCAGGTGAAGACACGAGGGGAAGGAAGAAAGGGGAAAACAAGGGGGAGGAAGGGGGGTGGAGAGGGGTGGGGGGAGGGGGAGGGGGAGATTGAAGGGGTGGGAGGGAGGGATGTAGAAGCAGGTTGAGTCGTGTGCTATAACCTTGCTTTCTCTTGACCTCTGCATTTTTCTTTGACCTTATCCCTTCCCAGTGGCATGCCGGAGTGCAAGCCAGGGTTGAACATTGTTAGTGACGCTTTCCATTGGACCCAAATTCGCGTCTTTCGAGTTTGTTCCCTTCTTTTCTTTCCCCTTTGTCACTCGCAATGTTTTCCTTCAACCTTGGGCCCTTCCCAGCCGTGACATGCGAGAGTACAGTGATCCAACTCGTGTCTTGTGTTTACTCTGCACATTCGTTCCATCCTTTCTGCTCCTCCTGTCCCTCGACCCCTCTCCCAGTGGCATGCCAGAGTGCAAGCTTGGGCTGAATGATCGAGTGCTGCTGGAGGCACAGGGCAGAGCGACCAAGGGCAAGGCCATCGATCTGGACGACATCAAGTTCCACCAGTGAGTGATCTCCTGTGCTTGCCCTATTTCCCTCATGCATGCCCATACATACACACCTGCGTCATAAACTTTTCAACACCCCATTATGGTTGAATGCCCGTGGCAAAACATTCCATTATCCATGTCTGAATGCTTAGCTGTCACCTTTCCTTGTCTTCCTCCATTGTATCCTCCACAGGTGCGTGCGTCTGGCGCGGTTTGAGAACGATCGAACCATCTCCTTCATTCCACCTGATGGGGCGTTTGACCTCATGACCTATCGGCTCAGCACTCAGGTCAGATGCTCCTGCTGCATATCCCTCACTCTCCCCTTCCCTCCCCCTCTGCTAGCTTACCTATCTCTCTCGTTTCTCCCAGTATGGCCATAGTTTTCACTGGGTTTACCTGGATCGGGTGGGTGGTCGATTCCGTATTGGACTTGCAGCTCTCAAATCCAAGTGAAGCCGCCAAAATGGATGGAAACGATGGTGATTCCCATATCATTTCAAGCTAACCACACCTCTGACACACTTTTGTATCGAACCATGTATGCTGCGTGGTATATGCTGCAATACCACACCAGGTGAGACCCCGCATATGGGTGGAAGCAATGGTGGAGGAGCGGCATTCCCGCAGTCGCATGGAGTACATGGTGAAGGCGAGGAGCCAGTTCAAGGAGCGGTCGACACACTGGCCCTTCAGTACTCAGGTCCTTCGGTCTCAACTGAAACCATGTGTTTGCATGTATGCTGCGTGGTCTGTGCTGCATGACCACACCAGGTGAAGCCCTTAATCTGGGTGGAGGCGATGGTGGAGCGGCACTCGCGCAGCCGAGTGGAGTACATGGTGAAGGCGAGGAGCCAGTTCAAGGAGCGGTCGACGGCGACGTCGGTGGAGATAGAGCTGCCGGTGCCCATGGACGCCATTGACCCCGCTGCCCGCACCTCCATGGGCACTGCTACCTACACGCCCGAGAGGGAGGCCATTCTTTGGAAGATCAAGTCGTTTCCTGGGGGGAAGGTGAGTGCTGCCCTCTCTATCCATTCTTCGTTTTCCCCCTCCCTGTCTCCCAAGCGGGCCGGGGCAAGAGCAGTAGAGCAGTGGAGCACCAGCAGAGCAGGCAGGCAGACAGCAGTAGGGTGTTTTGAGTTCAAGGAGCGGTCGACGGCGTCGACGGTGGAGATAGAGCTGCCGGTGCCAATGGACGCCATTGATCCCGCCGCCCGCACCTCCATGGGCACTGCTACGTACACTCCGGAGAGAGAGGCTATCCTCTGGAAGATCAAATCTTTCCCCGGAGGCAAGGTGGGTGCTGCTGTTTGGTGCTTTCTGCTTCGTGCCTTGGACGTGTGCATGCTCGAGGTATCGTGTCTAGGAAAGGAAATGTGGATAGGTGTAAAGTCTTTCAATCCCATTCACAGTGAAGGTGTAAACCCCATGTTTTTCCACCTCTTAGCTTCGCCATCCACCCCCACCATTCATTCTCCAACTTCCTTCAGGAATATTTGCTGCGAGCATGTTTCCGTGCTGTGAGGATGTTTTCGCATGCTTGCCTGCCCAGTGTAGTGTGGCTGCAGAGGAAGTGTTGAAAGTGTTTCCGATTTCAGAAACCTGCTCTTCCATGTTACCACACCGATACACACTCATGTAATTCCACTTCCTGGGCTTCACTTTCTATCTTCTGAGTCGACTCAAAAGTCACCTCGTTTTGAGTCGACTCAAAAGTCACCTCTTCCGAAACCTGCTCCCCCATGTTACCACACCCTTACTCACACACTCACGTAATCCCACTTCCTTGGCTTCACTTTCTATCTTCGACCCTCGTCACGAGTAATTGCTGCATGTGCGTTTCAGCCTGCCCAGTGTGCAGCAGAGGATGATGTGGCAGAGGTGTTCCCAGTCCCTGCATCTTCATTTTCCAAACCTTCGTGTCCCTAACCCATGTTCCCCTACCCCTGGGCTTCACATTTCTACGTTCAACCCCCCGTCACGAGTACTTGCTGCATGTGCGTTTCAGCCTGCCCAATGTGGGAGCAGAGGATGACGTGGCAGAGGTGTTCCCAGTCCTTGCGTCTTCATGTTCCTAACCTTCATGCTCCTAACCCGTGTTTTAAACCTGTATCTTCCTAATCCATGTTCCCCTACCCCTGGGCTTCACTTCTCTACTTTCAACCCCCCTCAGGAGTACCTGCTACAAGCATGTTTCAGCCTGCCCAGTGTGGCAGGAGTGGATGACGTGGCAGGGATGTCCCCTAACCCTGCATCTTCATGTTCCAAACCCTTGCATTCTCACCCCTGGGCTTCACCTTTCTGTCTCCAACCTACTTCAGGAGTACCTGCTGCGAGCGCGTTTCAGCCTGCCCAGTGTGGCAGCAGAGGATGACGTGGCAGAGAAGAAAGCTCCGATTCGTGTGAAATTTGAGATACCCTACTTCACAGTCTCTGGCATTCAGGTGAGAAGTCAGGGTGTATGTCAGGTGCTCAGGTGACTGGCAGATAGTGCTAGCTGTTGGAAGTGTGGTTGCCTTTGGTGGGAGGGAAGGGGGGGAAGGAGAGGGGAGGGGGGGGGGGGGGAGGTCAACTTTTTATCACATTTTGTCCTTTGCTAGAGCCGCAAAACCAGGTGTTCAAGCGAGAAGGGAAGGGTTATCATGTCAGTCTGGTGTGTCGATATCTTTTAGTGTCTCTTTCCACTTGTAATCAAATCCTCCTTCCCCTGCTCGTATCCACCCACCTCCCGCCCTTGCCGTCGCAACCTATCCCCTTGTGTCTCATTCTGCATGCATCCCGGTGCGATATCTGTCTCAATATCATTACCGTATCCCCCCGGATATAAGCGCCACCCTATGATAAGCGCCTGGCGCTTTTAATTGGCATATGGCGCTTATATCCCCTCCTCGATTATAAGCGCACCCCCTGAAGGCTTACGTATTATAAGAGCCACTATTTGTATCAGTGTTAATAAAGTTACTGGAATCTCTGTTGCGAAACACACTATTTGCATCCTCACATTGTGAAATTTTGACCCTTCACCCTCGCGCGACTCACTGCCTCACCCTCGCGCGACTCATTGACTGCGCGTCCAGTCAGAATGAGCTGTCATGGGGCGAAACAACTCATTCTGACTGTGTGTTTTGGCACCTTGCAAACTTGCGCGAGATTCTTCTTCACACCTACTATGATCTTGACTCGATTGAAATCGCAATGACAAGATGAACACTTTGGAGTGAAAACAACTAGATTTCATATATGTCATTGTATAAGCCCTGGCGCTTATAAAAGTCCTCGATTATAAGCCCACCCCCCTAAAAAAACATGTTTTATTATTGCCCCCCATGGGGGCATAGCCGGGGTGTGACGGTAAGTAGAGCGGTTACCTAAGTGACTTTTTGAGTCGACTAAAAAACCTCACCCTTGTCATTGCAACCCATCCCCTTGTGTTTCATTCTGCATGCATTCAGGTTCGCTACCTCAAGATCATTGAGAAGAGTGGTTACCAAGCGTTGCCGTGGGTGCGTTACATCACAATGGCTGGCGAGTATGAGCTGCGGATGATATGACGTGAAACGACGAGGCTACCTAAGTCTTCCTTGAAAACGATTCATTCAATCGCCCCATCACATGCATCACTACATCAGTACAGTTACTGTATTATGTGGATCTAAGTAGCAAACGGCCCTTCTCTTACTCATGCAGTACACGACCAATCGTTTGTATGTTGAACCAAAGCATATCTGGATTGTACACCGAACTAATTCTGCCGCGGTTGGTGTGGCGTGAGACTTGATGTATCAGTGAATTAGAAGCGCACACTACCAGTACCCTAGTGTAGATGGGTTCCAATCAAACCAACAGCATTACCAGAACACACAGCATTGATCATTGCCCGCAATAATGGAGGACACATCATTACGCATAGCATTCATTCCAGTCAGTAGCTTGGATAGTCACTTGGATAGCTTCCCAAAAGAGGGCATGGAAAAAAACCCATGCTTTATTACCATTCAAGCATACATCCACCCACTACAGCAAGCATCCTACCTAAAACTACCATATCTCCCTCCTCAAAGACTGCCTACCTTCTCCCACCCAACCACCCAAACGACCGAGCTAATTGGCTCCCAACAGACCAAACGACCCTAGTCACTGTTCTAGACCCACAGCCCACTTCTACCAATGATAATCAGAAACTCCCAAGGATCCCCTGTCTCAGAGACAGAATCTGGACTTAATTACCTAAGTGTGGCGTGTGTTTGAGTGCACAACACGAGCATCTAGCAGTCGTCCTTGCAGTCATCGTACTTGTCCTCGCAGTGACCCCTCTTCTTCGAGTAGCACTGGCGCCTGTAGTACTCGCACCAGTCCGTGCAGTCCCACTTGCCGTACTTGCATGCCTTGAAGCTCCTGTACGCCTTCACCTCGCACGCCTTGGACTTCTTCTCACACGCCTCCTTGTCGTCGTCGCACTTGGCCTTTTCCTCGCATTTCCCCTCGTTCTTTTCGCACTTGGCGTAGCGCTGCTTGTACTTTTCCATGCACGTCGGCTCGTCATCATCGTCGTCGTCGTCGTCGTCGTCGTCGTCGTCGTCTTTGTCTTTGTCGTGTTTGTCGTCATGGTGATGGTCGTCATGATGATCGTCCTTGTGGTCGTCGGTCAGAATGCGCCTGGTGCCACCAATGAGAGCAGGGAGGCGGCGCTCTGCACTCACAGATAAAGAGACTCGTTATAGTACATGGAAACAGAAACTCCATGGCACGTGATTAGACCAAAATCATGTACCCTTTCGGTGAACCGTTTTGGGAAGGGAGCTGCAACCTTAGTCCCACATACTATGTTGGACATGATACTACGTACGGTAATTCAACCAGTCCCATAGTACATGCATGTATTTCGGCGAGAGACTTACCAGCGACAGCAGGAGCAGGATCTGACTCAGAAACTGCGTTCGCATCCGCAACAGGCGTCGCGGTTATGGCGAGCAGTGCGCACAGCAGAACCAGCCCGGAGAGCAACGCGAAAGTCTTCATGGTGTCAATAGTAACGGCGAAGAACTAGCACTACTGATTGGGCTAGGCGATGGCTGAATCCAGTCGAAGACAAATAGATAGCTGATCAAATGTTGTGATCTTGGAATTTTGTCTGCTCTTTGGGAAGAAATAGGGGCATATTTGTAGTCGTGAGCCATAAACCAGAAGTGAATCTCCCCATATTTCGTGGAACCGCGTCGCGAGACATGGCTGCGTGGGTGGATTCTAGCGGGTGCGGAGGAAGGAGACGCGCGCGAAGGGGGAGGTTCTCCTGAGGGGCGAAAAGTAGTGTTGGCAAGATCTGGGACGAAATTGGTGACGCAATCGCGACTCGCGCGACGACACACGCGGTTTGGTGGCGGCTCGGCTGATTGATTAGGTTCGCTGTAAAGAGTACATAGCGCAGACACGGTCGGCCAGAAAAGCATGAGCTTCTTCTCTGATATTAGCTGACTTGGTAAGCGTCTCGCACCGCACTCGAACATTTGCAACTTCAATAAACTACCCGAAATCCCAAAATTCTGCACCGCTCTCCATCCCACTGAGTGCGGATCACTTCGCTTGAGTCGAACATTTGTGGAGTTAAAATTTGCCCAGGAACTTTTATCAGCCCCTTCCCTCCCAACCTCTCTCCAAGGCTGGAGTCGGTTCGGAGGGGCTCAGGAACGAACCTGGCCGCTTCGCTCAAAAGACGGCGGCGGCTCGCCCTTGGCTCAGGGAAGGCTTACTTTGATGAGGACGGAACCTGATCGCCTTGCTGATGCGATATACCCAGTTTCGAAACTTGCATTCACAAGTACATTCAGCTTTTACTCCACTAAAACAACCTTTTATTCCCACGCACCCACCCCAATATGATTCAGCATTCGTTCTTGTAGCGCTTGTACTCAAGTCACCGTCATCATCGATATCTTCCCTGCACTGCTTCTTTACGTGCTTGCTTGAGTCATAACAGCGATCTGATGACGAGGGTATCGCTTCGCCGTTCTTGCACGCCTTGCATTTCTTATGCGCCTTGGCATCGCAACTGTTAACTTTCCTCGTGCATTTATACTGCCGTCCAACGAGATGTGGACTTCCTGCATTTGCCTTGGCTCGTCTTGAACTTGCCTAGGTACGGTTCGTAGCTGTCGACGCTGGTGTGACCTGTTGGTATACAGATCGCTATAGCTCAGTCATTCTAAGTCGCAATGGTCATCTGAACGAGAATGCGACGTGCATTACGGGAGGAGCAGGAATGGCCACGGGTGGGAAAGTTTACGAAGATCATCCACGATAATCGCTCTCCCCGCAATAGTGCATGCAATAAACCCATGTTTATTCACCATTCAACCTTACATCCAGCGCAGCATCCTATAACTTCCCCCATGACTGCTTCCCCTTCTCTCATTTAGTTACCCACCCTCAGCTGTTTTAGGTCCACAGCACACTTGCAACCCATGATTGTAACGCATCTACTAGAAGAAGATCCCAGGACCCCTGATCCAGATTCGCAGTCTGGGCTTTCGGCGGATAGTCACATGTGACTCAAAGCGTGTGACTCACACGGAGTCTGTGAAAGACACGGGCATCTAGCAGTCCTCCTTGCAGTCTTCATACTTCTCCTCGCACTTGCTCTTCTTCTTGGAATAGCACTGGCGCTTGTGGTACTTGCACCAGTCCTTGCAGCTCCACTTGCCGTACTTGCACGTCTTGTAACTCCTGTACGCCTTCACCTCGCACGTCTTGGACTTCTTTTCGCACACCTTTTCGTCGTCTTCGTCCTCAGCCTTGTCCTCGCATTTCTTCTCGTTCTTCTCGCACTGAGCGTACCGCTTCTTGTATTTGTCCAGGCACGACGGCTCGTCGTCATCGTCGTCATCGTCATCATCGTCGTCGTGGAGAATTCGCCTGTCGCTCTCAAGAGCAGGGAGACGCTCTGTAACCAAAGATACGGAGACTTATTAGAATACATAGAAACGCAAAGCATAGACGAATCATGAAGTCGGTTTTCTCACGGATGAACATAATGCGTGGCCATACTAGATTTCTCTGCCCCTGCATTTTCTACACGCAAAAGCTGCGGGAGGTAATATTGTACCGCATAATTCGGCAAGAGATCGCAAAAATGTTGGGGGTGTTATGAATGGGGTGGTCCATCAGACCACTTTTCTCGATGGTTTCCTATTGTTGTACGTTGCTGTATATGGCCTGGGCCTGCGTTTGGGGGTGAGGTGGCAATTTTGGACCCGCGATCAACCCTGTTTTGCCCATTCTGCGTGCAAGAAAATGTTCTCAGCTGCTTCGTGGAATGTGCGAACGTTTGATCTACGGACAACATTCCAAGCGATTTCTTGAACGGTCAAGATTTCGCCTCTGATTCATTCTTCTTGACGCGTCGCACTTCGTGCCGCATTTGCTTCAAGCAGTTTGATGCTCGATAATCATTCATTGTTGTTTGCCGTTCGATGTATCGAGGATCTACGCTTCGCATTCTCTGGTGGCTGTGGGCTTTCCAACGTGTCCATTTTCCGGAGGAGTTCACTACGTGCTTTTAGTTCTGACACGGTTTGAAGGGTACTGGCGACATTTCTGTGGGGGTAACCCGAGGAAACGTTTCGTCAACTGCACAAGCGAAAGAATTATTGTAAGGGACCTGTAAACTAAATCGCCAGACATGGCAGCCACATTTCTTGCCTATTGATGAGTACAGTAGTGAGGGCAGATTGTTATAACAGAATTGGAAAAATAACAAAGTCCCATTTGCAACTCCAAGCTTATAACTACCAGCTAATTTTGAAAAATAGTCTCCAGAAGGAATGTGTGTTGTGAAAATTATGGCTGAATTGTTGACTATAGAAGAGCGAATGACCTGATTCATTTACCTGTTGCCTTCTGTTTTACCACGAAATGGTTCAAAATCCATTCGACATATGGCATCAGCAAAGTATCAACAATTATTTCTTAGAAAATAGACGCCGTGCAGAATGTTGTCTGGCAGTCAACTAAAAAAGAACGACCAAAGTGACGAGATTGATCTAGATCAAAAATTCGCACCGTGAGTCATCATACTTCCGTGCGGATCCTACTCATTTGCTTGCCTTCAAGCAATGCAAACCTTGTAAGCAATCTGCAAGAGTTTCAGGTCATCATAGCAGAAGGGCGGCTCGCAAACATTGCAGCAAGACGATCTGCTAGCATTGCACCCAAGACGACCTACCATCGTTGTCGTCGTCGTTGTTACTAGCGTCGTCACCAGCGTCGTCGTCGTTTACCGTCGTTTTTGTTGTTGTCGTCGTTGTCGCTACTGCTATTGTCGATGTTGTTGCTGCCGTCCTCATTGTTGTCGTTGTCGTTGTCTTCATCGTTGGTGATGTCGTCATCGTAGTTGAGCTATCATCGTGGACGTGTCATCGTCGTCATCATCGTTGGCGATGCCGTCATTATCGTCGCGACATCGTCGTCGTTGTCGTCATCGCCATCGTTGTCGTCGTCGTCGCTGCTACTGCTACTGTTGTTGCTATTGCTGCTGCTGCAGTTGCTGCCTCTGCTACTCATGTTGCTGCTCGTGCTGTTGCTCGTGTTGTGAGCGACGTTGCCGCCGTTTCTGCTGTTGCCGTTGTTGGCGCTTTTGCCGGTATTGGCGCCGCTGCCACTGGCTGTGGATGTGGTTATTGCTGTCGCTGTGACTGTCTCTATGGTTGTGGCTGTCGCTGTCTCTGTCGCCGTTGCCGTTACCGTTGCTGTTGCCCTTGATATTGCCCTTGCTGTCGCTGCCGTCGTTGCTGTCGTTGCTATTGACTTCGCTGGCGTCATCGCTGTCGTTGTCGCTGTTGCTGATGTTGCTCTTGCTGCTGTTGCGGTTGTCGTTGTTGTTGTTGTTGTTGTTGTTGTTGTTGTTGTTGCTGTTGTTGCTGTTGCTGTTGCTGCTGCTGTGTGAATGTGTGTGCGTGTTTCTGCGTGTGTGTGCGTGTGTGTGTGTGTGTGTGTGTATGTGTGTATGTGTGTATGTGTGTGTGTGTGTGTGTGTATGTGTATGTGTGTGTGTATGTGTGTGTGTGTATGTGTGTGTGTATGTGTGTGTGTGTATGTGTGTGTGTGTGTATGTGTGTGTGTGTATGTGTGTGTGTATGTGTGTGTGTGTGTATGTACGCGCGTCTGTGTGTGCGTATGTGTGTGTGATTGTGTGTGCCCGCGTATGCATATGTGTATGTATGTATGTGTGTGTGTCTATGTGTGTGCATGTGTGTCCGTGTTTGTATGTGTGTGTGTGTGTGTGTGTGTGTGTTTTTTTTTTTTTTTTCAATGCAATCGAAGCATGTGTTGACAACTCTCTACGAGTCTTTTACAATACATGCTTGTATATTAGTTTAGTTTGGTAGCAAGAACCTTGTAGTTGTAGGGTGAAAATATTGAATGATGCTCTTAAACTACAAAAATGTGCTGGCTGATCGTGTTCTTTCTTGCTTCCTGGATTTGTTACGCCATTCTGCATCTGGTCAGGTGAATGCATCTTTTTTGCGAATGACGTAGAGGGTCGCGTGTTATCCCTTGCAAATCTCGAACTCTATCTGACCAACGGGAATGGTTTCAGGTGATGATGTGGGGCTGGGCGATTTGATTTCTAATACCGAAACAGCATCTCGCGTCCAGCACAGCAGGCATAGGCACCACACCAGCTCGCACGTTAGTGTTAAACTGTATTATGCTTGTAGGCTGTAGTGGGGTAGCCAATATGGGGTACAACCCCAACTAGGGTTTCATATTTGTACCCAAACTTCTGCTAGTTCATCATCCTTGCCTAGTGATTCTGACATGGTATCAGAGCAGGAGGTCCCTAGGACCTACCGATCGTTTTTTTAGGGCCCACCACCGCTCGCATGCGGTTACCACGCTACCCCGTTCCCTAGCCTCGTAGCGCCCTCGTGCGCCCTCGTTAGCGCCCTCGCGCGCACCCTCGTTAGCGCCCTCGCGCGCACCCACGTCAGCGCCCTCGCGCGCCCCTTCGTTAGCGCCCTCGCGCGCCCCTTTGCTAGCGCCCTCGCGCGCCCCTTGCTAGCGCCCTCGCGCGCCCCTCACTAGCGCCCTCGCGCGCCCCTCACTAGCGCCCTCGCGCGCCCCTCGCCGAGCCGCCCGCTCGCAGCCCGCCCGCCCGCTCGCTGCCCGCTTCGCGGCCCGCTCGCTACGCAGCCCGCCCGCCCGCTCGCTGCCCGCTTCGCGGCCCGCCCGCTTCGCAGCCCGCTCGCTCGCTGCCCGCTTCGCAGCCCGCTCGCTCGCTGCCCGCTTCGCGGCCCGCCACTTCGCAGCCCGCCCGCCCGCTCGCTGCCCGCTTCGCAGTCACAGTTACCGCCTGCCTCGCTTCTCCCTGCTCCCTCTCCTTATACTGGTCCCACAGGAGGTCTTACAGAGCGTCGTGAGCCTGAGTCTCGTCCTGCGTCGCCTGTTCGTCCTGCTCGCACTGGTAGTCGTGTCCGTCGTGAGCGTCCTCCTCCTGTCCCAGGCACTCACTACATGACTCTGCGTCCCTCTACTGCTCCTCGGCGTGTCCCTCTACCGTCTCCTCCTGCGTCCTCTTTGCCTGCCGTTCCGGACCCTGAGTCTGACCGGTATCGCGCTGAGCACCCTACAGTCACGCGTCTCCTCGCTACTGTTGTCACTGACCCTACCTTTGAGTCCTCGGCTGCGTCTGCTCTGGTCGCTGAGTTGGTTGACTTTGCTGCTGCCTGTCGTCTAGACTACGCTGCTAGCCTTGTTGCTGAGTCAGAGTCTGCGTCTGTCTGTCCTCCGTCCGTCGGGGGTGAGTGTGCTCTTGGCACGGACGTCCTTGAGGACAGGCAGGAGGACTTTGACTCTCTTGCGGCTGCTGTACCTCATCTCGTGGCCTCGTTGCTTGCCCCTGAGGGAGACCCGGATGCACTAGACATCCCCACTCCGCGCACTTACGCAGAGGCGATCTCGGGTCCCTACTCCTCTCAGTGGCAGACAGCCATGGACGCAGAGATGGCATCCTGGAAGTCCACAGGCACCTACGTCGACGAGGTTCCCCCTCCTGGGGCGAACATCGTCGATGGCATGTGGATTTTCAGGGTGAAGCGGCCGCCAGGTTCTCCGCCTGTCTTCAAGGCTCGTTACGTTGCTAGAGGCTTCAGTCAGCGTCAGGGGGTCGACTTCTTCCAGACCTTCTCCCCCACCCCGAAGATGACCACTCTTCGGGTTCTGCTGCACGTTGCTGCTCAGCGTGACTACGAGCTTCACTCTCTTGACTTCAGCACAGCGTTCCTGCAGGGCAGCCTGCACGAGGAGATCTGGCTGCGCCGCCCACCTGGCTTTACTGGGTCGTTTCCCCCTGGTACCCAGTGGAGTCTCCGCCGGCCAGTCTACGGTCTCCGCCAGGCGCCACGTGAGTGGCACGACACACTGAGGACTACTCTTGCGGCTCTTGGGTTCGCGCCGTCTACTGCTGACCCGTCGCTGTTTCTGCGCACAGACACGTCGCTGCCGCCGTTCTACATTCTCGTGTACGTCGACGACTTGGTCTTTGCTACTGCTGACACTGAGGCACTCGCTCGTGTGAAGTCGGAGCTGCAGAAGAGACACACCTGCACTGACCTGGGTGAACTGCGTAGCTACCTTGGCTTGCAGATCACCCGGGACAGAGCTCGCCGCACCATCACCCTGACTCAGTCACACATGGTGCAGCAGGTCCTTCAGTGCTTCGGCTTCCAGTTCTCCTCACCACAGGCCACACCTCTGGCTACCAGCCACTCGCTCTCAGCTCCACCTTCGGACGAGTCCGTAGAGCCGAGTGGCCCGTACCCAGAGCTTGTAGGCTGCCTCATGTACCTGATGACTTGCACGCGACCTGACCTCGCGTACCCTCTTAGCATCCTTGCTCGTTACGTTGCGCCTGGGAGACACAGGCGAGAGCACTGGGAGGCTGCTAAGAGGGTGCTGCGTTACCTGTGCAGTACATCAGGCATGGGGCTGGTGCTTGGAGGACGCGACAGAGTTGTCCTCACTGGTCACTCGGACGCCTCTTGGGTGGACGACCTGGCTACGCAGCGGTCGTCACAGGGTTACACCTTCAGCCTTGGCTCAGGTTCTGTCTCGTGGCGGTCCACCCGCTCTTCCTCTGTTCTCGGCTCTAGTTGTGAGGCTGAGATCTACGCCACAGCCATGGCTGCACAGGAGTTACGCTGGCTCACCTACCTGCTGACTGACTTGGGAGAGCGGCCTAGTTCTCCTCCAGTTCTGTACGGTGACAACAAGGCGGCTCTTGCCTTGTGTCAGGAGCACAGACTGGAGCACAGGACGAAGCACATTGCTCTTCGCTACTTTCTTGCTCGAGAGCTTCAGCAGCGCGGTCAGCTTCGGCTTGTGTACGTGGACTCGAAGGCCAACACTGCTGATATCTTCACCAAGGCGCTCCCGCCTAGTGATCATCAGCGGCACTGTACTTCTTTAGGCCTTGTGTCCACGTTTCCTCACTTGCTCACTGCTTGACATTCTTTGTACTGTACTTTATATATATATCTTGTTGCTTGCCTGCTAGGTTTTGATCACTGTGTTGCTTGTCTTGTACTATATCTAGCACTGCATGTGAACTGGCCTTGTGGCCTTTACTTGTGCTCGGAGTGTGGTGACGTTGTGATCCACCCTGGGCTTTGCTTTGCTTTGCTGGACTGGTCTTGTGACCTTTTGTTCTCCCCCACTTTGCCTATGGGGGTGTGTTAAACTGTATTATGCTTGTAGGCTGTAGTGGGGTAGCCAATATGGGGTACAACCCCAACTAGGGTTTCATATTTGTACCCAAACTTCTGCTAGTTCATCATCCTTGCCTAGTGATTCTGACAGTTAGGTACAATCCACCACCGACTCACAAGTCGCTGGCGCACATCAGCTCGATTTCAACCAATCCTGTCGCCAGACACAGCCCAATTACAGTTCTCGAGTCGCTGCTGATCAGCGCGATCAGTCGTGATTTTAGGGCAGGTGTGGTCAAGTGCGGCTGGTGAGCAGCTCAACCAATCCGATGTTCCCAACCCAACTAACCGTCACATTCGTTTTGTGTTGCACTCGCTAGACTCGATCGCTTCCTACCCTGGCTTCTCCCCATCCCATTCCCATACACAAGCAACCACCTCACCTCACCATTTCATTCTCAAGGTTCGTTTTGTTTTCAGTTCCCAATCTTCCATTCGATATCTTCCGCGTCTAATGTTCTTGGATTTCAGCACTGTTCGCGACGAGTTATACTTCAGCTACGATCCGTAGTTATCCTAGGCGTGCGACACCTGGACGTGTCGTTGTCGAAGTTCCGCGCACACTCTGCGCGGTCTAACGCTTGCCATGCGCAGGTCTAACATCTGTCTGTTGTGTGAGCCGAAGTGTTGTTTTTGCCTTCTGAGTATTTGTAGCTGGTCTAACCTCACGCCAAATGGCTGTTGATTCGTGTGGCAGGTGTGTCGTGCTTGTAACGTTCACAGATATTGCATGGCTCTGGCGCTGTTTTTCTTATTGGATGTGCTCACGGCATTTTCAGTACGCCCAGTAAGTGCTGTTCTAGGCTACAAGCAGTTGTAACCGTGGCATTGTTCTATGTGCAGGTGAAAAACCATTTGGCTCAAATACCGGAGCTGTTAATTTGCTCTACTAGCCGTAGTAGTTTTGTATCATGGCTGGGGCAGTAAATGGATGTTTAGGTTATCTATGTGACGTTTGTATATGCTGTTTTAATATAGATTTGCAGCCATTTCCAGCTCGATTCTAAACACCAGGTGCATGAAAATTTCCAAAACGTCAATTGATGCTCTTGATGATTATATGAATTTATAAGGTGCCAATACATAAAAATTTATTGTCCTCAAATTAAGTGCGATTTATCGTCCTACCATCCAGTTGCATATACAGCCAGACAATACATGTCTGTATATAATACTCAAATTCACAACCATACACGGCTATACACGACAAAGTAGAACGGGCCATAAATGGCTGTTCTGGTCAATGTACAGCCCGACAATTTACGGTGCCCAAACGCCTACGAAGCAACCTGTATACAGCCGGCCAATTCCATGCCATAAAGCCGCCATGAGCATGGCGATTATGGCTGTAAATTGCCGTTTTTAAGGGCTACATTTTTTAGATGAGATGCTTACCAGCGACAGCAGGAGCGGTATCGGGCGCGGAAACTTCGTTAGCCTCCGCGACAGGCGCCGAGGTTACGGCGAGCAGTAGTGCGGATAGCAGAACCAACCCGGAGAGGAACGCGATAGTCCTCATGCTTGCAGTAACGCCGGAAAATCTCAGCCGAAAGGGGTCGTCAGACCTGACGACCCTCCGACGACTTGCCGACATGCTGCCCCGGGCAGAAAAAAACTAAAACCCCATCGGATGGCATGCCATCCGAGGGAGCCTCAACCCTAAAATCCATGCCTCCCCGTGTTTAGGGTTGAGGCTCCCTGACCGGATGCATGCCCGAATGGGGTTTAGTTTTTTTTGCCCGCGGGCAGCGAGCTCCCCCGGGCGGACTCGCTTGTCCGCTGAGATATATTCGGCGAAAGCTGACAGAACTGACGGGGCGCAGGCTATGGCCGAATTCTCGATGACAATTGGAAAGCTGGTCGAATGTGTAACGGCCATTTTCAGGTGCATGCCACTCAGTCTAGGAACACTATTCAAGTGCATGCCATGTTATTGGGCAGGTGTGTACACTTTACGCGGCTTAGAAATTTGTTATCGTAAAATTACAGGCTTCCCAAGATTCGTTTAAAATTAGCACAAACAGTCGAGAATAGATGCGATTCCGGATTACGCAAATCGAAATCGGAATGGTTGGCTCTCGACACTGCATTTTCTGACGTTACCAGAAGCAATCATTGCATGTTGCCCGATTTCGACGCGAATTCCTGCTTCGCCCTAACTCTTTTTTCACAAACTTAAATGCTAGATCAGCTGTACTGTTTACGCGGTTGACGGACGCTGCGCATGGCAAATCAACAAATTTTTCTAGGGCGTGCAAATCAACAAATTATGCACGCCCAAGAAAATTTTGTTGATTTGCCATGCGCAGCGTTCGTCAGCCGCGTAAATAGTACAGCTTGGGCAGATGATGGATGGTATGGAATGTAGTCAGTGGGGGGAGGCTTCTTTGTTGACGGCGGAAGGCTAGCGGCTCGGCTTGCAGGTGCGATATACTCAGCTTCGATACTGCCTTACTCACTTGAGCAAAGGGAAGCAATGTGTTCCAATGCTCACTTGAGCAACATACAACATACTGTCAGATTACGTTATCCTCCTCGTTCAAGCTCACAAAACAGTCAAATTCCATTCCACTGATAGTGTTGTTTCCAAAATTCAAGCTGTCACACCAATGCAATAACTACATTATGCCCAATCAAACAAAATATGTATTACCACACCACACCACATCCAAATGCTCATCCAGCATCACACAGCTACAACCAGCGATGGAAGGCTCTCCAAAGTCATACGTGTTCTACTCAGCAATCATTCTTGCAGCGCTTGTACTTGTAGTCACACTCGTCATCGTGGTCGTCCCTGCACTGCTTTTTGACGTACTTGCACCAGTCGTTGCAGCTAGAGGACGGCTTCTTGTCGCCGTATTTGCAAGTCTTGAATTTCTTGTACGCCTTCGCCTCGCACCTGTCAATCTTCCGCGTGCACTCGTAGCTGTCGTACGACGAGTCGCTATGGTCGCAGCACTTATGATCCCTCCTGCAATTCGACTGACTTTTCTTGAATTTGCCCAGGCACGACGAGTCGTCATCGCTCAGAACCCGCCTGTTCCCCAAAGAAGGGACGCGTTCTGCACGCAAAGACACGACGTTCTTCGTGACGTGTCAGAAAATGTGTGCTTGCATTGCTTGCAAAGGAGCCTCGTTGAATAAGGACTTATTTCCCCGGAAGAAGAAGTTCTACGTATACTTACCACCTGAAGTAGCGTCAACAGCGAGGAGCAGAACGGAGAGCAGGACAAGCCCGCAGAGGAGGGCGGAAGTCTTCATACTGCCTGTAGGCGAGAACTCTCAGACTCTATGGTAACTGGTGATCAATAAGTCGTGGTATTTCCTGCTTATGAATAAGTCGAACTAGAACATGTATAGTTGCGAATGCTTGGACCCGAACCTGAAATGCTAGGGAGGAAATGCGGAAACGCCAACGCCCACTTTTCCCCGAACAATTTTTGACAGCCAGCTTGGTTTTGGGCATGGTTCTGGCTCGGAAGCCAAGCTGCTTGGGCCATTGGTCCGAGGAGCATCTTTTCCGGTCTGCCCCCCTCCGCGCGATGATACAACCTGGAAGACTGGTTCGGAAGGCATGTGGTGCCAGAGGAACCAGGTTTGAGGTCGTGGTCAGGGACTGTATGATCCGGAAGGGGGTCAGAAAGGGGTTGCTGGGATTGAAGGGACCAGGAGCAAGATATTGATTTCAGGTGGAATTGTTGCACTCGACATGAAAGGGAACCTGACAAAACGTGCAATTAGGGTGCTATCATACTATCTCAAGCGTGGTATTGGCCATGGTTCGTGTTACTACACCTATGATTTCGCCTGTAAAGGGGGAATTTTTCAACGCCGAGCATTTTGACACTCATAAACTCGTGCCCGCAAATGTTCGCCCTGCAATAAGCTGGGACACTGGATCCCGCCGCCATCGCGCTTCCGTGACTAAACAAACCTGAAGGTTTAGCCTGGATGTCGAACCTGGAGGTCAGCTCAGACACTTGACGGTACTTGACCGGCATTGCGTGGCCAGGAAATTCTCGTAAGTTCAGAAGTAACACACAGGCAGATCCAGCCTCTCGGCTTTCGCACCACTTCGTACACCCAATTTTCTGTCAAGCTTACTTCAATGTAACAAGATTGGCGATCCGTAATTAGATTACACCGCCTACATTCGTTTGTAACAATCACATTGGTAGGTCGTCGCTGTACGGCCGCAACATCCCTCGCACACCTTGACGAAATTGTTCGCACTACTATATTCCGGGGCAGAATTTGTGCAGTGCTCTGTGAACTTCATTTGGGAGCCTTCTTATGAACATGTTAGCATACCTACATGTGAGTAATCATTAACATACCTAAATGTAAGTAACATCGTACCTCCAGGTGAAACTTGGACATGAATGTGACATTGTGTCTCGCAATGTTACATAAAAAACCCCCTCCTGCCTCTGCTTTTGCCACAACTTCTTTGTCTAAACAATAATACAAATCACCCCTCCCTCACAACGCATAAATTTGATTCAACCCAACATCAGCATCTAAGGTCCCACCTCGCAAACAAAAAAACTCGTTATTCCCATCACGAACTCCCGGAATTCCAGACAAAACTCGCCCATTTTCAGGCACCCGTCCTGATTTTAAACCTTTGCGTAGTGTTGGAAATGTGCAGCGACTATCCACTAAGAGCAGTTGTTCATAACGCAGTTGTTGTACTTCATCCCGCAGCTGCCCTTGTTGTCCTTCTTGCAGGCCTCGTAAAGCATCTTGCACAGCTTCTTGCAAGGCGGCGGCGGCGGCGGCGACTCCTGCTTCTTCGGGGGGAACTTGCAGATCTTAAAGCGCTTGTACGCCTTGGCAATGCATCGGTCGGTCTTGGTCATGCACTCGTCCGTTGAGCACATGTGATCCCTCACGCACTCCTTGCGGCTTTTCTTGAACTCCTCCATGCACGACATTTTAGGGGTTTCCTCCTTCAAGACGCGCCTGCTATCCTCCACCGCAGAGACATCCTCTGCAAGAATGCGTACGGAAATCCCACGGAAGTTAAAGTTAGGTGGTGAAAATTGCAGAAAGTGATTCGCGTCACGCAAAATTCATATGAAATCCTGGAGAAAAAATCGTTCTCACCAGGAACGGCATTGGCAGCGACGAACAGAGCGGCGAGCAGAACAAGCGCGCCGAGGAGAACGGAGGTCCTCATGCTGGCTGTAGGGGTAAACCTCACAGAACGTAGTCGAGGAGGGGAGGCTAGATTATTAGGAGAATCCAAATTGCTGGTTTGCTAATACTATTAGTAAGTTGCGGCTGCAGTTTATAGAATTCGCGAATGCTGCTGCTGGGGGCTGGAATCTCAACGTGGGGGGTTTCGTTGCTTGGTTCGATGAGGGCCAGATTTCGAAGACCAGCTTGGGTGAGCAGTTCGGAAGGGCATCACGGTTCGGGATTTCGTGGAAGATTCGGTTTGGTAAGCCGTCCTGCATTTTCCATTGGTCGGAGGAGGGGCTAGGGCGGTCTTGGCCACTCTTGGTACGAGACCAGCCAGGCTCGAACACTGATTCTGGAAGAACCTGGTATGGGTTGTGACCTGGACGTCTCGCAAGCCTGATGTGGAGGTCAGCCAGTCCCAAACCTGGGTCGGTTCGGTGTCGGGGAAATGTGTGAAAACCCTCAGGTGAATTGGCTGCGACCATGGATTCCTGAGTTATACGACCAGGGATATTCTCAAGTCATGCTCAACCATGAATGTCACACCAGGACCCCGGCAGCTGTGGACTTCCACCCCGACAATGGGTCCAATTCCCCAGTTGCAGCGCACATGTTTGGGTATTTTTCTCAAAATGATTTTGTCAATGTGGAGCTATGCAACAAGCAGAACCCAGTAGGGGTTGAAGCAAAACCAATAAAGCTCTGGACAGCCGAACCGGATCAGTTCATTCCATACATTTTGCATGATTCGTCAATTTCCCTCGATTTGATCTGCCCACAAAACCTGGTTGCGTCCAAACAAGAATACCTCCAAACCAAGTCCCAGAGAAGCTAGAAGCATGAATCTGGCTGCTTTGGCTGGTCTGGGAGGAGAAAGACGGCGGCGACGCGCTGTGGGTGGTTGCCTCGGAAGGGGCTGGGTAGGGGTGCTTTATTGGTCGAAGGGGCACTTGTTTCGTGACCAGGGATGACCGCACCGCATTCGTCGGTTCGGGAGGTAGGGCGGTCCATCTCCAACCGCAGTTTTGATATTGCACCACTCAAGGACTGTATAACAAAATCGTACATGCATTAGAAAGCTCGTCTGTTGAGACAATGCTTTGTAAACACCCTACAACAGATTCTTGGTGATTGCTTGGCTGCAGTAGCAGTCATTTCCTGTTATGATATCATGCGCCTACGACCCCTGGGACACGTATCTGGATTAACTGCTAGACCATGTAATGGCACCTAAGGTCAAAGCCTTCATGCACCTCCAAACACCTCCCCTCCCCGGCTGTATAACTGCCACTAACCAAAGCAACACAGGCATTATGGTGCTGTTGCTTCCTTCCGTAGGCGCCAGAGACCTGACGTGGCAGAAATGGCACGAGGGGTGCCCTGCCCACAAAGCAACAGCATAACCTTCAGTTTGGGAAGCTCCCTTCACAGTCATGCTTGGTATCGTTCTCCCGATGCGCCTCCAATCAAAGTATTTTGGCCAGTGCCGCAGCTTCGCTAACCTGCCTGCCGTGCCGATACTGGTCTTGTTCTTGCTGCTGGTGCTCTAGCAGTTGCTGCAGCAGCAGCAGCTGCTGTTGGTGCCGTTGTTTCTGGAACTGCAGCGGCGGCTCTCAATGCTTGATGTCGCTGCTGTAATTCCCACTGCTGATGTTACCTTCGCTGCTGTTGATGCTGGTGCTCCTGCTGTTGCTGTTGCTCCTCTTGTTGCGGTGCTGCTGCTGTTGCTATTGCTCCTGCTGTTGCCGTTGCCACTGTTGCTTCTGCTGCTGTTTTGATGCTACTGCTGCTGTTGCCGTTGCTGCTGCGGTTGCCGTTGTTGCTGCTGGCGCTGGTGCCATTACAGTCGCTGTTGCTGTTGCTGTTGCTTCTGCTGCTGCTGCTGCTGCTGCTCACACCAGCAGGCACCAATAGCTCAGTCTCCATCCACCAAACATCATCAGCACACCACCAAGACCCCCGACTTAGCAGCGCCGATAACAGCATTGCACAGACCAGCAGGCATGTACAGCCTTGGAGTCGACCCAACAGTCGATAGCCCTCCTATACTTCCCGAGCCGTTTTTCTCACCTTCGCACCAGTGTGGTCCGAAGCTCAGGCTCGGCAAACACCCAACCTCCGAACCAAACAGGTCCGGTATTAGCAGCACGCAGCAGCACAGTCAGTCAAAAGCTCCTCCTCTCTGCGAACACCTTCGCATCAAAACCCCAACCATATGCGCTCCTCACTTCCTCCCCCCTCCACCTCCCAGCCTCCCCAATACCTCCCCCCACCGAACCTCCGGCTGGTTCGGAAACAGCTTCGCAATTCTCGGGTCGGGCCGAGCCAGCCAGGAGCAGTAAACCCCAGCGGCAGCGAAAACAGCAGCCATGGACATGGCAGCGAGAGCGCCAAAGTGCTTGGGATCGTGAACGACTATGGCGAGTCCTAACATTAGTAGCTCTGCCAGGCTGGCTAGGGCGATTTCGGTGGTGCCGATGAGATTGGCGGAGGCGGGGGGAATGGCGGTTTGGATAATTTGGGAATCCACGATTTCAAATGTCCAGTGGCCCACTCGAGAGAGCACCTGTGGGAAGGAAGGGCGAGCACGGAAAGGTGGTGAGAGGTGGTGAGAGGTGGTGAGAGGTGTTGATGAAATTAGATGGCGAGGGAAATATACATCAGTTGAAGCATGATTCGTTAAGAGCAGAGTCACAACGAGTAGGAAGAGCATCAGCAGGCCCCGCTACGGCACTGGAGGGGAATGTTTGATCGATACTTACACTAATGCCTCTGCTATCAATCCAACGGACCATGCAAGGAAAATGACTGCGAGCACAGTGAGAGGACTCACGACTAGGAGTAGGAAGAGCAGCATCAGCCCCTGCTGCAGCACCGGAGGGCAGCGAGAGAGAGAAGAGAAGATGGCCACTGCGAGGGCCAGCAGGAGAGCCTGGAAGACGAGAGCAGCACTGCCAGCCTGGTGGGATGGAAAGGAGAATGGTGGAAGAGAAAACAGGAGAGAGTGCATGTGTGTGTGAGAGAGAGAGAACAATGAGAAGATGGCAAGTGTGGGTTTGGGGGGTGTGGGAGCGTGTGTGAGAGATGGGAGAAGGCAAAGATGACTTTTGAGGCGCCTCAAAAGTAAGGGGAGAATAGTGGGATTGGGGTGGGTGTGGGAGCGTGTGTGAGAGAAGGGAGAAGGCAAAGATGCGAGGGTGAGGGAGGAAGGGTGCATGGAAGACGAGACCAGCACTGCCAGTATGAACGGTGGCAGAACAGAGCCCATTCCCCTCCCACTGCACACCATTGCACCGCACCGCACCGCACTGCATTCCCCCGCAACCCATGGCCCCGCAATGCACTGCACCACTCTGCACCGCGCTGCACCCCACTGCACCCCACTGCACCACAATACCTGTAGCACACCCAGTCGTGCCACAAGCGGTGGCAAAACGAAGGAGGCTGCAAAACCCATGGCAGCACACCCACTCCCCTCTCACTGCACCGCAATCCGTCCCACAGCATTGCAATACACCACTACAGCACAACACTGCACCCTTCCAGAACCGCACTGCACCTGTAGCACACCCAGTCGTGCCACGAGAGGTGGCGAAACGAAGGTGGCTGCAAAGCCCATGGCAGCACAGGCGCCTCTGAAGGCCCCTATCACTGACATCTGCACGCCTGGTGGTTAGAGACAAGGGAAGGGAAAGGCGGGAGGGTGGAAAGGGAACAAGGAGAGTTTGAGTCATCTCAAAACTCGAAGTCCATGGCAGCACAGGCGCCTCTGAACGCACCTATCACTGACATCTGCACGCCTGGTAGATGCAGGCAGGTTGGAAGGGATAGAAGGGAGTGAGGGAAGGAGGAAAGAAAGCTTAAGTCGCCTTAAAAAAGAACAATGTCCATGGAAGTGCAGGTGTCTCTGAACGCCCCTATCACAGACATCCGTGGGAGGGTGATATGTTCGAGCATGTGTTTTTTGAGAATTCTCAAAAAACCCACAATGACCGCCCCTATCACTGACATCTGCCCGCCTGATTGTTGGCATTCGGAAAGGGGGAAGAGAGAGGAGGGAGGGAGGGAGGGAGGGAGGGAGGGAGGGAGGGAGGGAGGGAGGGAGGGAGGGAGGGAGGGAGGGAGGGAGGGAGGGAGGGAGGGAGGGAGGGAGGGAGGGAGGGAGGGAGGGAGGGAGGGAGGGAGGGAGGGAGGGAGGGAGGGAGGGAGGGAGGGAGGGAAGGAAGGAGGGAGGGAGAGGGGAGGGAGGGAGAGAGGGAGGGAGGGAGGGAGGGACGGAGGAGGAGGAGGGAGGGAGGGAGGGAGGAGGGAGGGAGGGAGGGAGGGAGGGAGGGAGGGAGGGAGGGAGGGAGGGAGGGAGGGAGGGAGGGAGGGAGGGAGGGAGGGAGGGAGGGAGGGGGGGAGTGAGGGAGGGAGGGAGGGAGGGAGGGAGGGAAAGAGGGAGGGAGGGAGGGAGGGAGGGAGGGAGGTGAGCAGCCCTCCGGGCGAGAGCAGGACAGCACCGAAGAAAAGCAGCACATAGGCTGCACTGGCGGGCATGGTAGCCTGCTGCATACAGGCATGCATGCGTAGGGTTGACTAAGCATGACGACTGCCCTCCCTTCACTACTCACCGCATTGCGACAGAAAAGAGGTGAGCGCAGTCCCCAGGCGAGAGCACGGAACTGAAGTAGAGCAACACGTCGGCTGCACTGGCGGGCAGGCAGGCACCAGGTAGAGTTTTGTGAGGTCGTTTTTGAGGCGCCTCAAAAACGACCTCACTGCACTGGCAGGCAGGCACCAGGTATGAACAAACAGCATACAGCACGATCCCTTCACTCACCGTGCTGCGACAAAAACGAGGTCAGGAGCCCCCCAGGCGAGAGCACGGCATTGAAAAAGAGCAGCACGTAGGCTGCGCTGGCGGGCATGACAGCCTGCTGCACGTAGCACCGCCACCCCTTCCCTGCTGCTTCTGCCACTTTCCCCACTGCATCCAACGCTTTCTTCACTGCTTTCCCTGCTGCCACTGTCCCTTCTCCTATCCTAGCCGCTGCCTCTTGCTTCAAAGCCCCCATTTTCCTCTCCACTGCTGCTGCAGCTGTTGTTGTTGTTGCTGCTGCTGCTGCTCCATCTCCTGCTGCTGCTGCTGCTGCTGCTTCTGCTGCTGCTGCAGCAGGGGCAGCAGGGGCGCCACAATCGCGACCAGTGCTGCACGCACGCAGCAGCGTGTGCCTGTGATTCTCAACACCCAGCATCCCTGCTGGTGCATGCGGCAGGGGCACATGGTGGGAGCAAGAGCGGTGGGAGCAAGAGCGGTGGGAGCAAGAGCGGTGGGAGCAAGAGCGGTGGGAGCAGCAGAGCGAGGCAAGGGGTTCTGCAGCTGAAGTGTTGCTGAATAGAGACGAGGTGGGCAGGGGGAGGAGGGGTGATGGCGGTGGGGAAGAGAAGGAGTGAAGTGAGCAGGGCCCTAGGAGTGACCCCTGGAGCAAGGACGACGACGAGGAGGAGGAGGAGGAGGAGGAGGAGGAGGAGGAGGAGGAGGAGGAGGAGGAGGAGGAGGAGGAGGAGGAGGAGGAGGAGGAGGACGACGACGACGACGAGGACGACGACGAGGAGGAGGAGGAGGAGGAGGAGGAGGAAGGACCTTGTTGCATCCATTCTTGAGTGTTCGGTACCCAGTCCCTCGAAACAAAGCCCTTTTCATGAGCCTTCCGGGACTCGCAGGAAGGTTCTTCTGAGACAGCCTGGGATCCCTCAGAGTCTTGTATGGGCAGGTGGCCAAGGGTGGGTAAGATCGCTCAGACGGCTGGGGAGATTTGTCACTTGGCCGAGGTCTGCTGAGAGCTCCTTGGGAGAGACGGTTGGTGAGCGTGGTGAGGGCGAGCTGCAGGGGTGAAGGGGGGGGTGAGGTGAGAGGAGGGGGGAAAAGAGGAGGGTGGAACATTGTGTCAACAAACTTTAGGCACTGTTATTCATAGCGAGAGGTCTGCTGAGAGCTCCTTGGAAGAGACGGTTGGTGAACGTGGTGAGGGCAAGCTGGAGGGGGGGGGGGAGGCGCAACAGACATACCAGGGCAGGAAACAAGAACAAGGAATGACCCGGCACAGACATACGCGGGTTGACGAAAAGGCAGTTTACAGGATCCGAGATAGCGAATTGAGAGGCAATGATAGAGTAGGCAGGAAGCAGACATGATATGAGCAACGGGCGAACAGCAAAGATGAGCTGGAAGCATAACTGGTACCAGTGCAGGGAAAGAGAGAGTAACAAGGGGTGCTTTGAGGTGAGTCATAATACACCCAGAAACCAAAAGGTAGAAGGAGGAAAACGACATACCAGGGCAGGGAGGGAGAGGGCGACGAGGGCGGCACATGCTCTGGCACAGACCAGCGGGCCGAATGCAACAATGAGCCATCCAAATACGAGCGGCGCTGCTACCTGATGGGTTTGGGACGGAGAGAAGGAGAGTTTTGAAACGTCTCAACTTGTCTACATGACAAGGGCACGAGGGAGAGAGCGACAACGGTGATGCATGCTTTTGCGCAAACAAGCAGGCCAAATGCAACAATGAGCCACCCGAAGATGAGTGGTGCTGCTACTGGAAGGGAAGGGAAGGAGAAGTTAGAGAGAGCAGGCAAATAGAAGTAAGTCGAGAGAGGGGAGGAGAGAGGAGAAAAGGCAAAGGAAGAGCATCAACGAGCTGGCCAAAGGTGAGAAACATTTTCCTGAGACGTTTTTCTTCAAAATGTTTGCATAGTCGATCGCTTTTGAGGTGCCTCACAAGTCCTTGAGAGACAATTTTCCCAAAATGTTTGCAGAGCTGATTGCTTATCCCTGTACCTCGCATGACAGGCCCACCCTTTGCAGATTCGCAGAGGTGTTGGTAGAATCCATCGGTCGGATCCTCCTGGTTGCAAAAGCCAATCGGTTTCATGGGGGGGAATTCGACCAATCAGGTTGGAGCATGACAAGAATTCCCCCCCATGAAACCGATTGCTGACTAAAGAAAGGAACCACACTCCCGCCGTCACTCACCTCACAGCACAAGTCCACCCTTCGCAGCATCGCATTGGCGTTGGCGAGAGCCACGGGCCGATCCTGACCTGCCAACTGAGAGGGTGGCGAGGGGGGTAAGCAGACGAATGGAAAGAACGGGTTGACTCTGATGACAGCTTGAGTCCACTCTGCCAGCTGAGAAGAGGGATGGATGGTTTGGGAGGTAAGCAGAAGCGCTGAACTGACAGGGTAGGAGGAAGACAGAGGAGCTCACGCACTCACACTCACTCACACTCACCACGATCAACCAGTCCCTCTCAAACGCCACTCCAGACACCAGGCCAGTGATCCTCTCAACAGCACCAGCCACCACCAGCACCATGAACCACCCACTGGTGGCAGAGCATAACAGTCTCTCTCACGCACTCACCACAATCACCCAGTCTCGCTCAAACGCCACTCCAGACCAGATGCAAGGAGTACCGTACACTCACCTTTTGAGGCGCCTCAAAAGTCAGACCAGATGCACGGAGTACCTTACACTCACCCGCATGCATCCCACTCAAACACGGTCACACACACACACACACACTCACCACGATCACCCAGTCTCGTTCAAATGCCACTCCCGACGCCAATCCGGTCAATCTCTCAACAGCGCCGGCCACCACCAGCACCACGAACCACACTTGACGCAGCACTGCCGTGCCTGGGAGAGCAGCCAGTGCTGACGTGGCAGCCGACGTGGCGGCTGACGTGGCAGATGACGCTGCAGCTGACGTGGCAACTGCGCCTGCGACAGCTGGGCCGGCGAGTTGAATGGCGTGTATGGTGGCTAGAGCTGCCACTACCATGGCTGTGGTCTGTTGTGGGAATAAAGAAAGAGAAACAAAATAAACAAAAAAGAGGCGGGGTAGAATGAGATAAACTGGGAGGAAGAGCGAGTTCAATGGCATGTATGGTGGTTAGAGCTGCTACTACCGTGGCCGTGGTCTGTGTCTGGAAAAAAAAAAAAGTAAGACAGAAAAGAACAGTCATTAAAAAGGGCAGTGGGCGACGAAAGGATTGAGCGGGGAGGAAGAGTTTGCGTACATGTCTGACTATATGGAGGAGAGGCGGTTGAGAAATGGGTAACACGGATAGAGCGAGGAGAAAAGACGTGGCCAGATTACAAGCACAACACACCAAATAGAAAATAACATGAAAAATAACCTGAAAATAAACCTGAAAACTCACCTGGGCAACAGAAATGGTGCTGAAGGCAGCCACCCGAGGAGCGGAGTCCATAAGCTCTCCCACTAGAGGAGCGCCTATAAATACCACCAACTGTTGGGTGGATGGGGGAAAAAAAGGGAAGTAGGGGAGGGTGGGGGTGGGTTGGGGAAGGGGAGAAAAGTGAGTTGGGTGGGGGGGTGAATGCAGCCACCGAGAGCAGGGGAGTCCATAAGCTCTCCCACTAGAGGAGCGCCTCTAAATACCACCAACTGTTGGGAGGGTCGCAGAGAGAGAGAAGAGGGAGGGTGGGGGTGGGATGGAGAAGGGGTAGGAGTGTGGAGTGAGTGAGTGCAGTCACCGAGGTGAAAAGGGGGGAAACGGGAAAAAAAAAAAAAAAGGGAGTGTTTGTCTGGAAAGGAATGGAGAGGACATGGAGTGAATGAAACGGAGGTTACCTCAGTGTTAGAGGGGCGCCGGGAGGGAGGGGAAGTGATGACGGGGGTGTCACCTGAGGGGAAATGGAAAAAGAGAAAGAAGCTTTCTTTCCTCAAGGGTCTCACCTGGCTGACGAAGCTGGCCACAGCCACGGGCAGCAGCAGCGAGTGATGCAGCAGCGTGCGTGCCTGCAAGGTGGCACGTATCTGAGTGCAAGTGCCTCACCTGGCTGACGAAGCTGGCTACAGCCACGGGCAGCAGCGAGTGGTGCAGCAGTGCGAGCAGCGCTGCTCCTGCGAACCGCCACGAGTGCTCGCCAAAGCAGTTGAACACATACGTCCAGTAGAATGCTGTAGCGGTAGGAAGGGAGGGAGAGAGGGGAGATGAAAAAGGAGTGCTCGAGTAGAAGGCTGCAGCGGTAGGAGGAAGGGAAGGGAAGCAAGGAATGAGGGAAAGATGGGGAGTGATGGAAGGAAAGCAGTTGAACACGTATGTCCAGTAGAAGGCTACATCCGTAGGGAGGGAGAGGGGAAGCAAAGGATGACGGAATGGGAAAAGGGAAGGGAGAGAGAAAGGGAGGGAAAGGGCACGGAAAGGCAATGGAAGAAAACGCAGTTGTATGGAACCAGCCTTGTCACCTCACAACACTACTCACCTTTCAGCGCAGCAGGATGAGCAGCCTCGACAGGCTCGGCATGTTCGGCAGGTTCGGAAGAATGGACAGGCTCGGCAGCCAACAAAGACGACGCCTCTTCCAATGATAGCTTTCCCACTTGCGCCTCCCCCACATACTTCTTGACCCCATCCCCCTCAGCTAGTTTTCCCTGGAGAGGGTGAAAATTCCACTGCTTCTGCAAACTCGTTCTCCTGCCGATTCTGATGCTGCTCCTGCTGCCTCTGCTGCAGCTGTTGTATTTGAGAATCGGGCAGCACAAATTCATTACTAGCGCAAGACGAGTCGTCTAATAGCGGGGATTCTTCCCTCAGCAGCGGAAGGGCATCCGGAATAGTCAACTCCTCCCCAGAACCCTCAGCAGGTACCCCTCTCTCCCACTTCCCGATTCCCCACGTGTCACGCTCAGACTCACTTCTGTCTATATTCACGTTGGAATCGCGCCCTTCAAACCAGTTCACCCAATCCTGTAACGAATCCATTGAATCGCTCTTTAACGAGGACCCGTTCAGGTTGTTTGGAGCCACTGACACGTCTGGCGGCAATCCCAAGGGTTGAACGAATCTACATTGGAAATGACGGCTCGTCCGCTCGACTCCGTAACAGATGCCACGTCAGTTTGCGCCAGCACTCTCTCTAGCTGCGCCACGTCATCAGCCCCAGGCACGAAATTCGCATCTAAACGCAAGGCCCCGCTAATGTCACAATCAAGCACCGCCTCACCCGCCGCCGCCGCCACTGCTGCTGCTCCACCGTTCGTTACAATCGCACCGCACAAACCCGCCCCCATATCATGGCTGGTAAAGCTCCCGGAACCAACGCTGCTGCTGCTGCTGCTGTTGCTGTCATCCACACAGCCGCTGCTGCTGCCGCTACTGCTGCTTCCGTTGCTGCCGTTGCTGTTGCTGCTGCTGTGATCGCACGACTGCTCAATCCGCGCCTCCACCGCCTCTTGCAACGAAACTCGGCTCTTCTGCGCGCGTCGCCGGCCCTTCAACGCGCGTCGCGGTGTCCTGCCATCGACGGAACGTGGTCGCAACTTGACGCAAAATTGATGGACAAGTCACATTTTTTTCAACTCTCATTGATTACTCACGCAAGACAGGTATTTTCTTATCATTGTAATCACTTACATGGGTGCAGACGAGTTACGGTGCTGGCCGGTCCTCGTTCGTGATTGGGTACCAAACGCAGATCGCCGAAACGATCTCCCGTACGACGTCCGAGTGACAGGACCAAGGGCTCCTATGCGAATCGCCGAAGAGAACTGCAACAAACGCGGCGATGGAGACGAACCAGCGCATGTTGGTAACGTGCGAAACGAGCGAACGCTAGCGACGCGGGAGAGAAGACACGGCGACGAGAGAGGAGAGGAGAAACCTGCACGCGCCGAGAAAAATCGCCCAGATGACTCGCATGCCAACCCCGGCGATGCTCCGTCGGCGTTTGCGACCAGATGCGAAACTCTCGACAATCGAGCGACGTTTGGAGAGTTGAAACTACGAGCCGCGGACCCCAAGAAATCGTCAACCCAGGTTTCACAAGGTAAACTACCCGAGCCTAGCCCCGAACCACCCGAACGTCGTTCCGAACCACCCGAACGCAGCCCCGAACCACTTGGAACCAGCACCGAACCACGCGGACATAAACCCGGCTGGAAGCTACGACGATTCTCTTCGCTTCTCGCCAAGGAGCGTTTTGCTAACGAATACTCTTCAGATTCTCTCCCGGCTGGTGGTGCCTGTTTAAGCCTGTTGCAGCGGCTGGCAAGAGGACTGCCTATGTAAAACGTGTTGCGCAGAACAGACAGGCCTGGGTGACGAGCTTTTTTCCTCAACAAAGGGGTTTTTTCCACGACTAGGGCGTTGGTTGAGAGAGGAACAGAAGAGATGATGGGTTGGGCGGCGAGGAGCGCCATGGGGGAGACTGAGACGCTGGGACGCCAGGAGGAGAGTGCGGGGGGGAGCGCGGAGAGGAGCGCGGAGGGGAGAGGCGAGGGGAGAGACGAAGGGAGCGACAAGGGAATGCAGACGGGGAGGCAGGAGAGTAGGAGGGAGGGGTGCCGAGAAGGCCCTCATATACGAGTTAGGGACCAGGGTGATGGGTTTGGAACAGGCCTGTATTGGATGTGAAGCAGCTGTGCTGCAAAGGGGACTGCGCGTGATTTAGTATGCAAGTTTCGCGAAGAACACTAGAACGTAGCAGGGCTTTGCCGTCACGAGCACACTGGAATGCTAACGGTGATAAAACGCTAACGCTCGTAACGGAAAGCTCGCGCAATGGCCTTATGCGGAGACCGCACAAAACGAGTCGCGCAGAAAGGAGCGAGAATACAGGTCTGTTCTAAAACCAAGAAAAGCAGGTCCCTAAATCTGGTGGCTGGTGACTAAGAAATGCAGCAGTGGATTACGGTACCAGTTTATGCATATCAGTTGCCAAGGGGGTGAGGATGACGAATTTAGGGTAAGCGAAAATGGTGGAAAGCGGGGGGAGGGGATAGACAAGGGGGAGAGGGACTGCACACATGTCCCAGACAGTTGGGAGAAATTTTGAAGGCATTGAAGGAGGTGGACAAAGTTTTGGAGCGGTTTACCAGGGTAGACAGTTCAGGGAAGGTTCTAGAGAAAGGGATGGGCGCTTGGTGAGGATATGAAATTCTTGGGAACAGAGGAAACTGGCGGAAGCGGTGACGAGTGTTCCGCCAAAGAGGTGGCGCGGCAGGCTTGGTAAGGGTGGGGGAGAGGAGGGGCAAGGTGGGGCGCTTTGCCACGTCATAAGTACTGGTCGAGTTTGCGCGACTGTATTCCCGCCCACTGTCGCTAAGCCAGGGAAAACGGATTTGGCCTGGAGGATGGCCTGGCACTGCGACAAGTCGGCAGCGACTGGCGATGTGACGTACGACCAGACTGACGAAGGAGAAGGATCCGGGAAGTCGTGAGCATTCGTCGCAAGCACCGACGTGGCACCAGCGTTTCTGTTCCTTTTGCTCGCATCCTCTTGTTGAGGATTTCAAGCTTCGTGGAGAAATCCGGGGGACCTGGCGGCGGGCTTCTTGCAAGCATATGATTGGCTACCGAGCGAAGCACGACAAACCATATACGAATTTATCGTACTGAAACCCATTGTACCGCGCAGAGAAACAATCAGAGCGTACGAAACCCCAGTTGACGTGCCTATCATTGCAGACCCAGCATTCTTGGATTTTCGCGACATAATCCAGGGTGGCAATGATGGGTCTCATCTCGTGTATTCCACGGCTCGAGATGATAACTTGCACCAACGGAACGAATCTTAGGTTTGTGAAAAATTTAGTCAAACTCCCATTTTTATCAACAACTACTCTTCCATAAACGGCAAGAGAACTTTTTGGTTGAAAAAAACATCGTGCAGAAATGTCCAACTTGCATTTTAAATCTCAGATCAATTGAGGCGGCTGGGGCGCGCATTCCTGCGAGCGCGGCTGGCACGGCTAACGCGGCTGGCACGGCTGGCGCGGCTAGCACGACTGGCACGACTGGCCTGACTGGCCCTACTGCTGGCGTTGTGTCCATTCAACCCAGAGAACTTTTTGGTTGAAAAAAACATCGTGCAGAAATGTCAAACTTGCATTTTAAATCTCAGATCAATTGAGGCGGCTGGGGCGCATTCCTACGAGCGCGGCTGGCACGGCTAACGCGGCTGGCACGGCTGGCGCGGCTAGCACGACTGGCACGACTGGCCTGACTGGCCCTACTGCTGGCATTGTGTCCATTCAACCCGGTGTAAGGGAAAGCAGCAACATCGAGGCCAGAGTCGCCACTTTCAAAGCCACTACCACCGCGTCCTGCCAGCGTCGCCGCCTCCTCCCCCACTTCCCCACCAACACGCCCCGCCGCGGCCGCTGGTGCTGCCGCCGCCGCCGATGCTGGCGCCGCTGCTGTTGACGGTGCCTCCCCACCAACACTACCGCTGCTGCTGTCACCATTGCAGCTGTTGCTGCCGCCAATGCGAAGGAGGGGAGTCAGAAGAGACGAGATGCCTGAAAGTGGTTGGTTCACACATGGTGGCTGCAGTGATGGCGGTGATGGTGGTGATGATACTGGTGAGGTGAGTGCGACAGGGGGTGGACTGGGAGGAGACGGCCCTCCGTGGTGGAAAAATCCAGACACGAAAGACCAGACGCCTGACAGAGGGTTGTTGACAGATGGCAATGATGGCAAAGATGTCGGCAAAGATGTCGGCAATGATGGCAGTGATGTCAGCAACGTCGGTGGTGGAGGCGGTGGTGACGACGGTGTATTGGGAGGTGATGGCCATTCAAGGCGGGAGAATAAAGCCGCGCTGGTGGAAATCGACTGATTTCCACCGCTGCCACCGATAAGCCCATCACCACCATTGATAGAGGAAGAGTTGAGCGGAACCTCTGGCAGGGGCTCTTCTGTAATGGAGTCGCTCAGAGTGCGGTGCCTGACAAGCGAACCGGCATGAGTTTCACGAGCATCTTGTGCGGTTCCGTGGATTTCCAGCGCCTTGCCACGAGATGCCAACGCCATGGTTGATCCTGCGACCAACCAAGGTTGGAGATTCATAAGATTTGGAAGAGGAATATGCGAATGGAGCTTGGATTTAACCAGACTCGCACACAGTGCACTCGTGACTAGCGACCAGAGGAGGCGACCTGCTGCAAGGTCAAGGAGTGGCTGCAAGACAAAAACTGTATGACAACTGACGAAAGCAACAAAACGAGAGTAACAGAATGCACAAGTAGTCGGCGTCAAGTCACCTGACGAAATCAGCACGCAAAGGATCAGCACAGTCGGCCTAGCGAGCGACTTAAACAACGCCATCTTCGTCAGCTTAGCTCTTCAATGAAAAACTCAGGCTTCGAGTCTGTGACTTGCTGACTTAACGCTACGAGTCCATTTATATAGCCACGACAAGAACTGAATGAGCCGCGTTGAAGAATGGAGATCACAGACACGGGTGCAGCTTGGCGCCTGTCACGTCTACCTGTCGACACGACTGTTGCCGCGACAGGCAATACCGCCGAGGCTTGCCATGAACGAGACTGATTTAATGCCGCCTGACGGCGAAAATATCACGTCTACCTGAGCGAAACCTCTTCGCGCTTAAAAACGTTTACCCCAGGTAGTGATGTGACATCACTAATCTGGAACACATAACTACTTCGATGTGACATGTTCAGCACCATGATTGCGAACCTGTCAAGGGTTCGAGCGTAGTTTCTACATCGCGATAGTTTCCCCTTTGGAGGAAAAGGATATCGAGTCGGCTCAAGAATCTCGTGCATGCAGCCCATGAAGCAAGAAGGCGTGTCGCACGATCGTGTCACGCTGAAGACGGCTCCTCGTTCAGAGTGAGCGCTGGCGTTTTCGTCTCGAATCGCCAGGCTGTTTTCTCACGGAACCAGCCAGACTACAATGCATACTCGCTTTCCCCTTGTAGCTGGAACTTGAACAGCTGGAACTTGAACGCTGATGGAGCTACAGAACAGCGACGACAACGAGAGTAGAGAACTTCACTCACACGCTAATGAGAAACAAATGAGACAGGACAGGAGTGGAAGCACGATCTGGTCTGGTTGACCATGAGGTATTATCAAGAGCTCAAAACAGTTTCTAGGGAGCCTTTGTTAGTCGGAACGGCTGAATCTCAGCCAACACAATCAAGCATGCGAGAAGTGTCATGTCAGAGGTACACCACTGACCACCACACTAGACCGAACTGAATCTATATACCCTCTACCATACCGATTCCGGACCACTTGGTCGTCATCCTGGTTGTTTGCTGGCTGCTGTCATTATCGCAATTAAGTGATGCGTTTCCAGAATCTCCGCTATCGGTACAAGAGTGTAAAAATGTGTAGAGGAACGTTAACCCTTACCGGTACATTATCGGTACATTGCCTCTCCATCCTCCGCCTTACCCTTGCCCTTACCCACAGCAATTGTCACTATCGCGGTTGCCCCGGCAGTGCCCGGTGGTTTGGGTGCAGCTTCTTCAGGTGGGATGGAGCGCGAGCTCGAACCCGGTTGACCAGGCGGTGCTGCACCTCGCGATGCAGCGCCCCACTTCTGCTTCAGCATGTCTTGCACGCTCTGAGTGCGCACCGCGGCCGCTGCCTGAGGACCTCACTGCCTCTTCGCCCCCCGCTGATTCTCCGCCTTCGCACCCGCTGCCCGCTTTCCATGCTCTGTATCCCGGGGCTCGGCAATCTCATTCGCAGCTGGTTCGTCATTATCCGTGCGCGTCGGCGGGGTTCCTCCAACGAGCGCGATGAGGGTGTGCAGCGCGTCTGTGACCCCGCTGATTGTGATTGCCCGCTCTGCTGTCGCGGAAATCGCGGTCGACATGTTGTCAATCTTCCGCGCAACCTCGTCCGTCAGCTTCTTCTGAGCGGTTTCCATGGAGTCTGCCACCACCCACTGCAGCTGTCCCAACCTCGCGTCCACTCGCCCCAGCACCAACGCCTCCTGGTTACGCGTGTCGACCAGCGCCGCCCTTTCCAGCGCAATCGCCTTCGCCTCCTTCTCTAAGATCCGAACCGCATTAGCAAGCGCGGCCGCGAGCTCCTCGTAGCCCACAACCGCGACCCCGCCAACCCCCGTCTCCGGGCGTTTCTTCAGCCGTGCGAGCTCTTCCGCCTGCGCTGCAAGCCTGCAGTCAAGTTCCAGGATCTCGGTAGCAAGCTTATGCGCTGGCAACGCAGACAGGGATTTGTAATCACGCGCACCAGTCACGGGACTCTTGCTCGCGACCTCACCACTCGGGCCCGCGCTTCCAGCACCGGGGGCCAAGTGCTGCGCGAGGTGCTTGATGCTCTTGCCGGATGTCGTGGGCCTGCTGCCTGCCGCCGCCGCGACCACGTGAGCCTCCGCCTCCTCCTCGCTCGACTCCTCCCCCTCACGCGCTACAGTGCGGTCAGTCTCATCGCGGGGTGCACTCTAGTCGCGGTATCCTCTGCCCCTTCGTCATCAACGTGGACCACCGTCCCCCCCCCCCCCCCCCCCCCCCCCCCCCCCCCCCCCCGAGTACCTCCGCGGTTCGAAACACCAGTGGCACCTGTGAGAGCGAGAACACCATGGTCAGCAACCTGCGCACCCGTTGCCACATTCTGCACCTTCCCTGTTTCAGCCCCGTCAGCCTCACCGCCGTGCTTGGGTCGCGTCAAATCCACGCTCAAGTTGAACGCGAGCTCTTCGGCGGTTCGGAACGCCTCATATCGTAGTGCATTCAAAGTCTTCGCGGTAGGCCTCGAGAATTGCGGCCCGGATCCATTGGCAGCGACCGCGTCCAACTGGGCAAGGATCTTGTCGAACGCGAACAGACAAGCGAGGTTGCCGCAGGAGCCCTTCAATGACGTCGCGTCCTGAAATTCAGAACATGTGATTTGTTAGCACGGTGGCAACTGTTCGCGGTCATCGAGAACACGTACACAACAAAGACATACCAGATCGAACAGACGCGCAGGACCCTTAAGCTGGCGGGATCGGGTGCACTGAATGGAGCCGCGCGCGAAATCCTCGTCAACGCGACCCTGAAACCACCTGCCCAATCGCACAGACATAGCCACGCGAACGCGCGGTTAGCGACGTGAGCCATGGAGCGGAAATGAACGTGGTAATGATGACACACCTGTACGCGGTACTCACTCCACAAGCGCCTCCGCCGCGGTGACGTGTTCCGCACCACCATTGGGAATAGCAACGCGAACGAACCGCGTGCTCCAGGTCTCATCACCGTCAAGCGACAGGTGGTCGGGGTGAAGCATAATGAGCATGCTCGCGTTCGAGCACTTCTTGTCGATCAAGTTCCTGCACGTGCCATGGACGAACGCGTTAATCCACGTAATCGAGTGCATGCCCTGTACAGGTGAACACTCCCAATGAACACTGACTACTGTGTCCCCTCAGGTCGCTGCGTCTGCGTCTGCGTCAGGTCAGCTAGCGGCCCCCTGCTCGTGTCGCGCTTTGTCGCACCAGACCCTCCTTTGGCACCACCATCTTGGTCACCCCTCGGTGCAGTGCCTTCATAGCATGCACCGCCGTGTCCTTGTCTCTGGTCTTCCCAGGGTTCTCCCTCCCCTCCCACCCTCGCCTGCTCCTCCCTGTCTTCCCTGTGTCGAGGGGCGGCAGCGTGCCGCTCCTCACTCCTCCTCGTTTCCTCGACGACTGCTCCCCTGCAAACCCTGCACATGGACGTGTGGAGCCCAGCCCGCGTCACTGGACAGGGCCGCGAGCGATACTTTCTGCTGGTTGTCGACGACTACTCGCGTTACACCACGGTCTTCCCCTTGCGCACCAAGGGTGAGGTCCCTGATGTTTTGATCCCTTGGATCCGCGCTGCCCGTCTCCAGCTCCGCGAGCGGTTCGGGACGGAGTTTCCCGTCCTGCGTCTGCACTCTGACAGAGGTGGGGAGTTTTCCTCCGACCTTCTGCAGAGCTTTTGTCGTGGGGAGGGCATTCGCCAGACGTTCACGCTTCCGGCCTCTCCGCAGCAGAATGGGGTTGCTGAGCGCCGCATTGGCTTGGTCATGGAGGTCGCTCGTACCTCCATGGTCCATGCGGCTGCCCCCCATTTTCTGTGGCCGTTTGCGGTCCGATACGCCGCGCATCAGCTCAACCTCTGGCCCCATGTCTCCTTGCCGGAGACCTCGCCCACACTGCATTGGACGGGGGAGGTTGGCGATGCGTCGGTGTTCCGGGTCTGGGGTTCTCGTGCCTTTGTCCGCAATACCACCGCGGACAAGCTCTCCGCCCGCGCTGTTCCCTGTGTCTTCCTTGGCTTTGTCCCTGACGCGCCTGGTTGGCAGTTTTACCACCCCACCTCGCGCCGTGTCTTCCCCTCTCAGGACGTCACGTTCGACAAGTCGGTTCCCTTTTACCGTCTCTTCCCCTACCGCACTGCCCCTCTCCCCCCCCCCCGCTCTTCCTCGCTCCAGGTGCTCCCCAGGTAGACCCCCTCCCCGCTCCCGGTCCTGCTCCTTCAGGTGTGTCTCAGGTAGACCCTCCTCCCTTGACTGCGCCGGTTGAGGTCACTAGTGACTCAGGTCCTGCTGAGAGTGGTCCTGCTCGGGGTGCTGCTTCTGGGGGTGCTGAGCCTGGGGGTGCGGAGCCTGGGGGTGCCGAGCCTGGAGGTACGGAGTCTGGGGGTGCTGAGCCTGGGGGTGCTGCGTCTAGGGGTGCTGCACCTGGGGGCGCTGAGGCGTCTGGTGAGCAGTCTCCCTGGAGCGACCGTCTCCGTAGCCGCTCCGCTGGTGCCTCACCGCTGCCCTCTCGTCGTCGTCCCCCTCTCTCCCCACAGCAGCTGCGTGAGTGGTACGTTAGCCGTCAGGGTCGAGCTGCTGGAGCTGGGGGCCCTGCTGCGGGAGGCGCTGGTGTTGGAGGCACTGGAGCCGGCGCTGTCCCTGGGGGTGCGGAGCCTGGGGGTGCAGAGCCTGAGCGTGAGGAGCCTGGGAGTGCTGAGTCTGGGGGTGCTGAGCCTGTGCGTGAGGAGTCTGGGGGTGCTGAGTCTGGGGGTGCGGCGCCTGAGGGTACTGAGACTGCTGGTGCGCGGTCTCCTTGGAGTGGCCGCCTTCGTCCGCATGTGCCTCTCACCTCACAGCAGCTGCACGACTGGTACGGTCGCCGTCAGGTTCGCGCTGCTGGAGCTCGGGGCTCTGCCGCTGGAGGTGCTTCTGCTGACGCCACTGGAGCTGGGAGTGGTGCTGGTACTTTGTCTACTGGAGGTGCTGGAGTTGCTGGTCCCGGAGGTGCTCGTACTGGCAGTACTGGAGCTGCTGGGACTGGAGGTGCTGTGTCTGGGGGTGCTGCTGCTGGAGACACTGAGACTGGAGACCCTGGGACTGGAGGTGCCGGTTCTGGGGGTGCTACTGCTGGAGACGCTGCGGCTGGAGACCCTGGGACTGGAGGTGCCGGTTCTGGGGGTGCTGCTGCTGGTGGAGCTGGTCCTGGAGGAGCTGGCGCTGGAGGTTCTGGAGCTACTGGGGGCGCTGGAGCTGCTGGAGGCGCTGGTGCTGCCGGTGCTGGTGGCACGGCGCAGCCGAGACTGTTCTTCGCTCCGCCGTCTCCGTCGTCTCCGCCACCGCCTGACTCTGTGCTTCGCCAGGTTCTTAGCCTCCCGTCTTCTACTGGTCTTCCGTTACAGCCTGGCTCCCCGCTGCCTGCTCCTTCTCCTTACACCGAGCAGCCAGGGGGTCTTGCTGAGCGTCGTGAGCCTGCGTCGTGTCCTGTCTTGCCTGTTCGTTCTGGTCGTACCAGTCGTCGTGTTGCTCGTCCGCGTTCGCCGGCTGTCCCCGGCGCGCACCTCGTTGTCCGTCGTCCGTCCTCTGCTCCGCAGCGTGTTCCTCTGCCGTCTCCTCCTGAGTCCTCTCTGCCTGACGTTCCGGACCCTGAGTCTGACCGGTTTCGTGCTGAGCACCCTACTGTCACGCGTCTGTTAGCCACTGTTGTCACCGACCCGTCGTTTGAGTCTGCTGCTGCGTCTGCCTTGGTCGCTGAGCTTGTGGACTTTGCTGCTGCCTGTCGTCTAGACTACGCTGCTAGTCTTGTTGCTGAGTCTGCGTCTGTCTGTCCTCTGTCCGTCGGGGGTGAGTGTGTTCTTGGCACGGACGTCCTTGAGGACAGACAGGAGGACCTTGAGTGTCTTGCGGCCGCTGCGCCTCATCTCGTGGCCATGCTGCTTGCCCCTGAGGGAGACCCGGATGCACCAGACATCCCTACCCCGCGATCTTACGCTGAGGCGATCGCGGGTCCCTACTCCTCTCAGTGGCAGACAGCCATGGACGCAGAGATGGCATCCTGGAAGTCCACAGGCACTTACGTTGACGAGGTTCCCCCCCCTGGGGCGAACATCGTCGATGGCATGTGGATTTTCAGGGTGAAGCGGCCGCCGGGTTCTCCGCCTGTCTTCAAGGCTCGTTACGTTGCACGAGGCTTTAGTCAGCGAGAGGGAGTTGACTTCTTCCAGACCTTCTCCCCCACCCCAAAGATGACTACTCTTCGGGTGCTGCTGCACGTTGCCGCTCAGCGTGACTACGAGCTTCACTCGCTGGACTTTAGCACAGCCTTCTTACAGGGTAGCCTGCACGAGGAGATCTGGCTGCGCCGCCCACCTGGCTTCACTGGGACGTTCCCTCCTGGTACCCAGTGGAGCCTCCGACGGCCAGTCTACGGTCTCCGCCAGGCGCCTCGTGAGTGGCACAACACACTGAGGACGACACTTGCGGCACTTGGGTTTGCTCCTTCGACAGCTGACCCGTCGCTGTTTCTGCGCACCGACACTTCGCTGCCGCCGTTCTACATCCTCGTGTACGTCGACGACTTGGTCTTTGCCACTGCTGACACTGAGGCTCTCGCCCTGGTGAAGTCGGAGCTGCAGAAGAGACACACATGCACAGACTTGGGTGAGCTGCGCAGTTACCTTGGCTTGCAGATCACCCGGGACCGAGCACGCCGCACCATCACACTGTCTCAGTCACACATGATGCAGCAGGTCCTTCAGCGCTTCGGCTTCACCTGGTCCTCGCCACAGTCCACTCCTTTGGCTACAGGTCACTCGCTCTCAGCTCCACCTTCGGACGAGTCCGTAGAGCCGAGTGGTCCGTATCCAGAGCTTGTGGGCTGCCTCATGTACGTGATGACCTGCACTCGTCTTGACCTTGCGTACCCTCTTGGCCTTCTGGCTCGCTACGTGGCTCCTGGTCGGCACCGAAAGGTGCACATGGATGCTGCAAAGAGGGTACTGCGCTACTTGTGCAGTACATCGGGCATGGGGCTCGTGCTTGGAGGGCGGAGTCCAGTTGTCCTCACTGGGCACTCAGACGCTTCTTGGGTTGACGACCTAGCTACGCAGCGGTCGTCACAGGGTTACACCTTCAGCCTTGGCTCCGGCTCTGTTTCTTGGCGGTCTACTCGCTCCTCTTCTGTTCTCGGAGAGTATTTTCCTCGTCGCGTCCGCCGAAATCCGAGGTAGCGATCAGGTACACCCTTTCGGGTCACCCGAATTAACACTACACTTCGCTATATTACATGTATACGCGCAACTGAACATTCCCCCGCTACGTCTAAAATTATATCGTTTAATATTTTTAGTGGCATACACTCCGTACCGAAAATTTATTATCAACATGCTTTTCGCGAATGAATGTTCGCGAGGGTCTTGCGAGCATTCCGACGCTCGTAAATGACGGCGATTGGCCGGCTCCTTTTCGGGCAGCACGGAGATGGCTTCGCACGCGTGGGTTGGCGCCGATTCGCCCGTCGCTCGAAAACCGGCTCCCATTGGCCGATTCCGTTTCGGCCAGCTCGTACTTCCCTTCGCACGCGCGGATTCGCTTGCGAAATGCTTCGCGAGGGTTCTCAGAGGCACAAATCACTCGGGAACGGCTCCGATTGGCGGGTTCTGTTTCGGCGCGCTGAGGGTTCGGCCCTCGACCTCGGATTGGAGAGCGAGGGGTTTCGCGAGCCAGGGCTGGGTTAAGGGGGGGGGGGCCGGGGTTGGGACCACACTGTGTGGCGCTGGCGTGTCCTGGGCTCGGCGCGGGACCACCCCGCCAGCTGACTCCGCCGCCCGTATCTCGCTAGGGACCTGCAGCCAGGCGGGGGACTCCCGCTCGCGTGCGTCAGCCAGCTGGGGATCGCGACAGGCCGTGCATCCGCGTGCGGCCCTGGTGGAAACGGGTTTCCACCAGGAGGGGGCCGTGGTGAAAACCGTCCCACCAGGGCCCGGATGGACTGGTGCAGTACTTTGATCACCCCTTCAGCGCAGTCTCAGGGAAAATGGATTTGGCCTGGAGGATGGATTGGCACTGCGACAAGTCGGCAGCGACTGGCGATGTGATGTACGACCAGACTGACGAAGGAGAAGGATCAGGGAAGTCGTGAGCATTCGTCGCAAGCACCGATGTGGCACCAATGTTTATGTTCCTTTTGCTCGCACCGCATCCTCTTGTTGAGGATTTCGAGCTTCGTGGACAAATCCGGGGGACCTGGCGGCGGGCTTCTAGCAAGCATATGATTGGCTACCGAGTGAACAAGCCAAACTCAATGGGACTTTCCACTGTAGGTTCGGGAGTGAGCGAAAGCACAACAAGCCATAAACGAATTTATCATACTGAAACCCATTGTCAATCAGAACATATGAAACCCTACTGACCGTAGAAATGCCCCAGTTGATGTGCCTGTCATAGCAGACCCAGCATTCTTGGATTTTCGCGACATAATCCAGGGCGTCAATGATGGGTCTCATCTCGTGTATTCCACGGCTCGAGATGACAACTTACAAATGGTAGGAGTTTTAGGTTTGTGGAGAATTGTATTAGTCAAACTCCCATTGAGGCAGTTCAATCAAAACTCTTCCATAAATGGCAAGAGAACCTTATAGACGAAAAAAACATCTTGCAGAAATGTCGAACTTGCATTTTAAATCTCCGATCAATTGAGGCGGCTGGGGTGTGCATTCCTGCGAACGCGGCTGGCACGGCTAGCGCGGCTGGCACGGCTGGCATGGCTAGCACGACTGGCACAACTGGCCTGGCTGGCCCTACTGCTGGCATTGTGTTCATTCAACCCGGTGTAAGGGAAAGCAGCAACACTGAGGCCAGAGTCGCCACTTTGAAAGCCACTACCACCGCGTCCTGCCAGTGTCGCTACCTCCTCCCCCACTTCCCCACCAACACGCCCCGCCGCGGCCACTAGTGCTGCCGCCGCCGCTGATGCGGGCGCCGCCGCTGTTGACGCTGCCTCCCCACCAACACCACAGCTGCTGCTGTCACCATTGCAGCTGTTGCTGCCGCCAATGCGAAGAAAGGGAGGCAGAAGAGACCAGAAGCCTGAAAGTGGTTGGTTCACACATGGTGGCTGCAGTGATGGCGGTGATGGTGGTGATGATACTGGTGAGGTGAGTGCGACAGGGGGTGGACTGGGAGGAGACGGCCCTCCGTGGTGGAAAAATCCAGCCAAGAAAGACCAGACGCCTGACAGAGGGTTGTTGACAGATGGAAATGATGGCAAAGATGTGGGCAATGATGGCAGTGGAGGCAGTGGTGGTGACAACGGTGTATTGGGAGGTGATGGCCATCCAAGGCGGGAGAATGAAGCCGCGCTGGTGGAAATTGACTGATTTCCACCGCTGCCACTGATAAGCCCATTGTTAGAGGAAGAGTTGAGCGGAACCTCTGGCAGGGGCTCTTCTGTAATGGAGTCGCTCAGAGTGCGGTGCCTGACAAGCGAACCGGCATGAGTTTCACGAGCATCTTGTGCGGTTCCGTGGATTTCCAGCGCCTTGCCACGAGATGCCAACGCCATGGATGATCCTGCGACCAACCAAGGTTGAAGATTCATAAGATTTGGAAGGGGAATATGTGAATAGAAGCTTGGATTTAACCAGACTCGCACACAGTGCACTCGCGACTAGCGAACTGCTGCAAGGTCAAGGAGTGGCTGCTAGACAAAAAGTGTATGAGAACCGACGAAAGCAATAAAACCAGAGTTACAAGATTGCACAAGTAGTCGGCGTCAAGTCACCTGACGAAATCAGCACACTAAGGATCAGCGCAGTCGGCCCAGCGAGCGATTTAAGCGACGCCATCTTCGTCAGCTTAGCTCTTCAATGCAAAACTCAGGCTTCGAATTTGTGACCTGCTGACTTGACGCTACGAGTCCCTTTATATAGCCACGACAAGAACTGAATGAGCCGCATTAGAGAATGGAGATCACGGAGATGAGTTCAGCTTCGCGTTTGTCACGTCTACCTGTCGACACGACTGTTGCCGCGACAGCCAATACCGCCGAGGCTTGCAATGAACGAGACTGATTTGATGCCGCCTGACGGCGAAAATGTCACGTCAACCTGAGCGAAACCTCTTTGCGCTTAAAAACGTTTGCCCCTGGGAGTGATGTGACATCACTAGTCTGGAACACATAACTACTTCGATGTGACATGTTCAGCACCATGATTGCGAACCTGTCAAGGGTTCGAGCGTAGTTGCTACATCGCGACAGTTTCCCCTTTGGAGGAAAAGGATATCGAGTCGGCTCAAGAATCTCGTGCATGCAGCCCATAAAGCAAGAAGGCGTGTCGCACGATCGTGTCACGCTGAAGACGTCTCCTCGTTCAGAGTGAGCGCTGGCGTTTTCGTCTCGAATCGCCAGGCTATTTTCTCACGGAACCAGCCAGTCTACAATGCATACCCGCTTTCCCCTTGTAGCTGGAACTTGAACATCTGGAACTTGAACGCTGATGGAGCTACATAACAGCGACGACAACGAGAGTAGAGAACTTCACTCACACGCTAATGAGAAACAAATGAGACAGGACAGGAGTGGAAGCACGATCTGGTCTGGTTGACCATGAGGTATTATCAAGAGCTCAAAATAGTTTCCAGGGAGCCTTAGTTAGTCGGAACGGCAGAATCTCGGCCAACACAATCAAGCATGTCAGAGATACACCACTGACCACCACACTAGACCGAACTGAATCTATATACCTTCTACCATACCGATTCCGGACCACTTGGTCGTCATCCTGGTTGTTTGCTGGCTGCTGTCATTATCGCAATTAGGTGATGCGTTTCCAGAATCCCCAATATCGGTACAAGAGTGTAAAAATGTGTAGAGGAACGTTAACCCTTACCGGTACATTATTAGTACAATGCTTCTCCATCCTCCGCCTTACCCTTACCCTTACCCACAGTAGTTGTCACTGTCGCGGTTGCCCTGGCAGTGCCTGGTGGTTTGGGTGCAGCTTCTTCAGGTGGGATGGAGCGCGAGCTCGAACCCGGTTGACCAGGCGGTGCTGCACCTCGCGATGCAGCGCCCCACTTCTGCTTCAGCATGTCTTGCACGCTCTGAGTGCGCACCGTGGCCGCTGCCTGAGGACCTCTCTGCCTCTTCGCCCCCCGCTGATTCTCCGCCTTCGCACCCGCTGCCCGCGTTCCATGCTCAGCATCCCGGGGCTCGGCAATCTCCTTCGCGGCTGGTTCGTCATTATCCGTGCGCGTCGGCGGGGTTCCTCCAATGAGCGCGATGAGGGTGTGCAGCGCGTTCGTGACCCCGCTGGTTGTGATTGCCCGCTCTGCTGTCGCGGAAATCGCGGTCGACATGTTGTCAATCTTCCGCGCAACCTCGTCCGTCAGCTTCTTCTGAGCGGTTTCCATGGAGTCTGCCACCACCCACTGCAGCTGTCCCAACCTCGCGTCCACTCGCCCCAGCACCAACGCCTCCTGGTTACGCGTGTCGACCAGCGCCGCCCTTTCCAGCGCGATCGCCTTCGCCTCCTTCTCCAAGACCCGAACCGCATTAGCAAGCGCGGCCGCGAGCTCCTCGTAGCCCACAACCGCGACCCCGCCAACCCCCATCTCCGGGCGTTTCTTCAGCCGTGCGAGCTCTTCCGCCTGCGCTGCAAGCCTGCAGTCGAGTTGCAGGATCTCGGCAGCAAGCTTATGCGCTGGCAACACAGACAGGGATTTGTAATCACGCGCACCAGTCACGGGACTCTTGCCCGCGACCTCACCACTCGGGCCCGCGCTTCCAGCACCGGGGGCCAAGTGCTGCGCGAGGTGCTTGATGCTCTTGCCGGATGTCGTGGGCCTGCTGCCTGCCGCCGCCGCGACCACGTGAGCCTCCGCCTCCTCCTCGCTCGACTCCTCCCCCTCACGCGCTACAGTGCGGTCAGTCTCATCGCGGGGTGCACTCTAGTCGCGGTATCCTCTGCCCCTTCGTCATCAGCGTGGACCACCGTCCCCCCCCCCCCCCCCCCCCCCCCCCCCCCCGAGTACCTCCGCGGTTCGAAACACCAGCGGCACCTGTGAGAGTGAGAACACCATGGTCAGCAACCTGCGCACCCGTTGCCACATTCTGCACCTTCCCCATTTCAGCCCCGTCAGCCTCACCGCCGTGCTTGGGTCGCGTCAAATCCACGCGCTCAAGTTGAACGCGAGCTCTTCGGCGGTTCGGAACGCCTCATGTCGCAGTGCATTCAGAGTCTTCGCGGTAGGCCTCGAGAATTGCGGCCCGGATCCATTGGCAGCGACCGCGTCCAACTGGGCAAGGATCTTGTCGAACGCGAACAGACAAGCGAGGTTGCCGCAGGAGCCCGTCAATGACGTCGCGTCCTAAAATTCAGAACATGTGATTTGTTAGCACGGTGGCAAATGTTCGCGGTCATCGAGAACACGTACACAACAAAGACATACCAGATCGAACAGACGCGTGGGATCCTTAAGCTGGCGGGACCGGGTGCACTGAATGGAGCCGCGCGCGAAATCCTCGTCAACGCGACCCTGAAACCACCTGCCCAATCGCACAGACATAGCCACGCGAACGCACGCTTAGCGACGTGAGCCATGGAGCGGAAATGAACGTGGTAATGATGATACTCACTTCACAATCACCTCACGTGGTAGGGTCCATGGAGCTAAACCTCTACGTGGTACTCACTTCACAATCACCTCCGCCGCGGTGACGTGTTCCGCACCACCATTGGGAATAGCAACGCGAACGAACCGCGTGTTTGATACTTGTACCCAACTCACATTCAATGCATTCATTCCTGCTTCTAGATTCTAACATGGTTTCAGAGCAGTAGGTCCGTAGGACCGTGAGCGGCCCTAGAGCCCGTGAGCGGCCATAGAGCCCGTGCGCGGCCCCTGCCCTTGCCGTGCGCCGCCCCAGAGCCCGCGCACCGCCCCTGCCTGCCCGTCGCGCCGCCCCAGAGCCTGCGCGCGGCCCCTGCCCTTGCCGTGCGCCGCCCCAGAGCCCGCGCACCGCCCCTGCCTGCCCATCGCGCCGCCCCAGAGCCTGCACGCGGCCCCTGCCCTTGCCGTGCGCCGCCCCAGAGCCCGCGCACCGCCCTTGCCTGCCCGTCGCGCTGCCCGAGAGCCTACGCGCGGCCCCTGCCCTTGCCGTGCGCCGCCCCAGAGCCCGCGCACCGCCCCTGCCTGCCCGTCGCGCCGCCCCAGAGCCTGCGCGCGGCCCCTGCCCTTGCCGTGCGCCGCCCCAGAGCCCGCGCACCGCCCCTGTCTGCCCATCGCGGCGCCCCAGAGCCTGCGCGCGGCCCCTGCCCTTGCCGTGCGCCGCCCCAGAGCCCGCGCACCGCCCTGCCTGCCCGTCGCGCCGCCCCAGAGCCTGCGCGCGGCCCCTGCCCTTGCCGTGCGCCGCCCCAGAGCCCGCGCGCCCCTCCTGCCTGCCCGTCGTGCCGCCCTAGAGCCCGCGCGCCCCTCTTGCCTGCCCGTCGCGCCGCCCTAGAGCCCGCGCGCTGCCCCTGCCTGCCCGTCGCGCCGCCCCAGAGCCTGCGCGCGGCCCCTTCCCTTGCCGCGCGCCGCCCCACAGCTCGCGCGGCGCTCCTGCCTTCCCGTCGCGCCGCCCCAGAGTCTACGTGCGGCCCCCGCCCTTGCCGTGCACCGCCCCAGAGCCCGCGCGCCACCCCTGCCTGCCCGCCAGGTCGCTCTCGAGGCCCCGCCCTACCGCTGTCGCGGCCCCGCCCTGAAGCAGCCGGCGCGGCCCCGCCACGCAGCTGACGCGGCCCCGCCCGGCCGCTGTCGCGGCCCCGCCCTGCCGCCGACGCGGCCCCGCCTGGCCCCGCCCTGCCGCCGACACGGCCCCGCCCTGCAGCAGCTGCCGTGGCCCTGCCCTGCTAGTGTCGTGGCCCCAGCCCTGCAGCTGACGCGGCCCTACTCTGCAGCCGCTTTTGCGGCCCCGCCGTCGCCGCCGTCGTGCGCCTACCCTGCCGCTGCCAGCCGAGCGCCGGCCCTGCTCGCTCGGCGAGCGCCTGCCCTTCCCGCCACTGGTGAGCACCTGCCCTACCGCGCTTCCCGCGCGCCTGCCTTGTTAGCGCGTTGCAGCGCCATCTGCCTGCCAGCCTGCCTGCCTGCCGTGCCTGCCCTGCCCGCGCTGCTACTTCTGTTACCGCTGCTAGGCTGCTGCTGCTGCTACTGCTGCTACTACTGCTACTGCTGCTACTGGCGGTGGCCAGATGCAGCTCCAGCGACGTCCGCGCGAGTCTCTCACGCCCCAGCAGCTTAGTGAGTGGTATGCTAGTTGGGGTTATGGCGGTAGTCGGCGAGGCTGTCGCCCTGGAGCTAGTCAGTCGGGAACTTCTGGCAGTGGCAAGCTGCAGCTGCAGCGGCGTCCACGCGAGACACTTACGCCCCAGCAGCTTCATGAGTGGTACGCTCACTCAAGGTAGAGGGTCTCGGAGTACCGTTCGCTGCCCGTACGTCATTCGCACAGGTGCTCGGGCTGGTCAGGCTTGCGGGACGCTTGGTCACACACAGTCCCGCTGCTTCGCCCGTCTGAGCGACGCCTGGCGTACCGAGTTTGGCGACGAGGCTGAGCTCCCCACCTGGCTGGAGCTGCTTAGGCAGAGGGTAGATATCTTTGCTCTTGACTATGATGCTATTCTCACTGCCATGTATGCGTTGCCTACTAGTGCTGACGGTGCCTGTTACCTGTGCGTACCGCCTGACCCAGGTATAGAGTCTTCTGCTCTAGGTGCTGGTGAGGCTGCTGCTCTAGGTGCTAGTGCGTCTCCTGCTCTAGGTGCTGGTGCGGCTGCTGCTCCAGGTGCTGGTGAGTCTGCTCTCTCTGGTACTGCGCCTGCTGAGGCCTTGTACACCTTCACGCTTGACTCAGGTGCTTCCCGCTCCTTCTTTCGCGACAGCACCACCCTCACGCCGCTCAGTCGGCCGGTTGCAGTCTCCCTGGCAGACCCCTCTGGGGGTCCAGTCCTTGCGCACTCCTCCACGGTCCTGCCGTGTCCGGCGGTCCCGTCTGGCTCCCTGTCAGGTCTTCACCTCCCCTCGTTCTCTACGAACTTGGTGAGTGGTGCTGACCTCCAGGACCAGTGGGTTGACCAGTTCACTCCTGGAGGTCAGCGCGTGACCCACTGTACGTGCTCCCGGACGGGCCGGCACCTGGCCACGTTTACCCGTGCGCCTGGCTCGAGTCTGTACACACTGACTACTGTGTCCCCTCAGGTCGCTGCGTCTGCGTCTGCGTCAGGTCAGCTAGCGGCCCCCTGCTCGTGTCGCGCTTTGTCGCACCAGACCCTCCTTTGGCACCACCATCTTGGTCACCCCTCGGTGCAGCGCTTTTGGAGCATGCACCGCCTTGTCCTTGTCTCTGGTCTTCCCAGGGTTCTCCCTCCCCTCCCACCCTCGCCTGCTCCTCCCTGTCTTCCCTGTGTCGAGGGGCGGCAGCGTGCCGCTCCTCACTCCTCCTCGTTTCCCCCGACGACTGCTCCCCTGCAGACCCTGCACATGGACGTGTGGGGCCCAGCCCGCGTCACTGGACAGGGCCGCGAGCAGTACATTCTACTGGTTGTCGACGACTACTCGCGTTACACCACGGTCTTCCCCTTGCGCACCAAGGGTGAGGTCCCTGATGTTTTGATCCCTTGGATCCGCGCTGCCCGTCTCCAGCTCCGCGAGCGGTTCGGGACGGAGTTTCCCGTCCTGCGTCTGCACTCTGACAGAGGTGGGGAGTTTTCCTCCGACCTTCTGCAGAGCTTTTGTCGTGGGGAGGGCATTCGCCAGACGTTCACGCTTCCGGCCTCTCCGCAGCAGAATGGGGTTGCTGAGCGCCGCATTGGCTTGGTCATGGAGGTCGCTCGTACGTCCATGGTCCATGCGGCTGCCCCCCATTTTCTGTGGCCGTTTGCGGTCCGGTACGTCGCGCATCAGCTCAACCTCTGGCCCCATGTCTCCTTACCGGAGACCTCGCCCACACTGCGGTGGACGGGGGAGGTTGGCGATGCGTCGGTGTTCCGGGTCTGGGGTTCTCGTGCCTTTGTCCGCAATACCACCGCGGACAAGCTCTCCGCCCGCGCTGTTCCCTGTGTCTTCCTTGGCTTTGTCCCTGACGCGCATGGTTGGCAGTTTTACCACCCCACCTCGCGCCATGTCTTCCCCTCTCAAGACGTCACGTTCGACAAGTCGGTTCCCTTTTACCGTCTCTTCCCCTACCGCACTGCCCCTCTCCCCCCCCCGCCGCTCTTCCTCGCTCCAGGTGCTCCCCAGGTAGACCCCCTCCCCGCTCCCGGTCCTGCTCCTTCAGGTGTGTCTCAGGTAGACCCTCCTCCCTTGACTGCGCCGGTTGAGGTCACTAGTGACTCAGGTCCTGCTGAGAGTGGTCCTGCTCGGGGTGCTGCTTCTGGGGGTGCTGAGCCTTGGGGTGCGGAGCCTGGGGGTGCTGAGCCTGGAGGTACGGAGTCTGGAAGTGCTGAGCCTGGGGGTACTGCGTCTAGGGGCGCTGCACCTGGAGGCGCTGGGGCGTCTGGTGAGCAGTCTCCCTGGAGCGGCCGTCTCCGTAGCCACTCCGCTGGTGCCTCACCGCTGCCCTCTCGTCGTCGTCTCCCTCT